TTTTTTTTTTGGTAGAAATTGCTTTTTTGGAAAAATGAATTTTTCCTCCTTTAATAATTTTCCAATGGTGTACTTCAGTTTTTAATAATTATTTATCATCTTGCATCATTTTCATGTTTGTAGGGAGAGAAATTAGGAGATCTTATTTGGGTTTTTTTCTCCTTAACTCTGTTGCTCTCCCACATTGCCATCTTCTTCCCTAGATGAGTAGCCAGAAATCTATTTGGTGCATTAGCAAATAAAACTTCCCTAAAATGTAGAGGGGAAACCAAATCCTTTCACTAAAGTCTTCTCAATTTGCGTATTCCATTCCTGAAACTGCTTCTGAACTTCCTAGCCAAATTCCACTTGCCTTCTGTTTTTCTCTCTGTCCTCCATACTTTGGTTTTTGGTACCAGATGAATATTTAATGAATACTTGTCTTTTACTGGGCATAAAGATCATTTGTTTTTTAACCTGAGAAAGTTGGATAAAGCACTGAAATAGGACTCAACTTGGGGTACATTTGTGGCCTTGGGAAATGGTGCAGTGAAAAGAGTATGATTTAGAGACAAAGGGTTTGGGTTTAAATCTAGAATCTTCTATTTATTATTTATGTGATTTTGTACAGGTTCCCCTCTTGAACCCAAGTTTATTTATCTGTAAAATGTGGAGTTGAACCAAATAATCTCCAAGATTCCTTGCAACTTTGAATCCTGTGATCCTCTTACCTCACCCTTACCAAAGTTGTTTTTTTTTTTTATAATGAATGGAAAATGGTAGTGATGTCTATTTACCTGCCTTCTGAGATGTGTGATTTAAGGATAACTCTCAGGAAAGGTCATCTTTAATTATAAAGTTGTAATAATATTTTCAATCACATAGTGACTTATGTATAAATTATATTTACTAGTTCTTTTCAATTTTTCGTTGCCCACAGATTATCATAGTTGATCCAGCTCATGAAACTGCAGTAGAATTGATAAATGTAGCTGAAATGTTCCTCAGTAATCATATACCACTAAGGTAATAATACTGTGTTGCTGATTTTAGTATATGTATAACTGAGTTGAAATTTTGTTTCTCATTCTTAAATGATTTGATTAAAATCTAATACCAAATAATATGAAACAGTAGGATTAATGAATTGGGATTAATTGGTCATTGATGAAGAAAATGAGTATCTTTTTTGGCACAGAATATTTGAAATTTTTTGAGCAAAAGCTAGTTATCACTGGATGATTGAAAAATAACCCATTTGAAAATTTTTCATAGGCTTAGCCTTTTTTTTCATAGATATTCACATCACAAAAGATATTAATGTATTTGCAACAGATTGAGGACTTTGTCAGTTTCTGTAGGACCAAATATTGTTCATACCTGTTTGCAGAGACTTGTCAAATTAACAGTGAATTGTGTTTATCTAGAAACCTCGATTTTGTGAACAGGTAGCTTACATATCTAGTTTTTCAGTATATCATTTTTAAGAAATGCTTTCTTTTAACTTTACATGTTATTTGGACTTCTTTTTATTAATGCCTACAAAGTTAGATTTGCTAAAGTTTAATTTTTTAGAAATCATAAAGGTAAAATGTGTAATCTGTGTAATTCTTGTTGAATCGTCTGTTGTGTGCATAGCACTGGCACATAACCTTGGTGATAACATAGAAATAAAAGACACAGTCTATGCATCCCAGGAATTTAGCAATCATTTGGGAAAAGCAGATTACACACGTAAAAGAAACAGAGAACAATATAGGATGGTTTTAAAATTATTTCCTAGCTCACACATTCCCAGGTGCTGTAGGTATTCACATTAAAAAAAAAAAACAAGAACAAGCAGTTTGGAAAGGTTTTGTGGGAGAAATAGGGCTTGAGCTGGCTGGGCCTTAAAGAAAATAGCAAATTTGGTGCAGAAGAGAAGGAGTAGGGCTTTGTCAGATGGATATTTAACTACTGTATTAACACTGAAGTGAAGCAGTGGCCTATCTGAAAGGAAAAGCACAAGGGAAAGGCACAAAGGATCACTCAGCACACTGTCTTAGGCACATTCACTAAAGTCAGTCTTCCTTGAACTGAAGTATTCAACTAGTTGGAGTAGTAGTGGTAATAACAATGATAATAAATACATAATTTTATCTTTGTGACAGCCCTGGCAGATAGGTGCTATCAGTTTGTTTGGAAAGTAGAGTTTACAAAAGAGAGTAATATTTTAAAAGCCTAGAAATGTAATTGGGATTGGGTTGTGATGTGCTTTAAATGCTAACGTGAGGAGTTTGTATTCAATCTTAGAGGTAACAGTGAGCCACTGGATAAATTAGATCTTTTAAAACAGTGAATCAATAGGATTTTGTGAGGAATTGGATGTAGAGTTGAACTCGTGGGAAATAAAAAAGTTTGATGAAGGTTTTAGGCATGCTAATTTGAGGTAACAGTTGAACCATATTTCTTATTACCAGTATATTTTTTGGCAGAATAAAGTGTGATATTTTGCACGTGTTCCTTAAGTCCCTAATTGCTATACAAATTAGAGTGAGGGGGAAATTTTTTGCCTAACTGTGGGAGGAGTATTGTTCCACAGTTTATTTTTCACAAGTGTGACTGGTATTCGAGGTTTTCATTCTTCTTTATTTGGTGTGAAAAATGTTGACAGTCCAATAAAATGTGTTTGTAAAGAGCTTTGCCATATTATTGATTTGATTTATGCTGTAGATCAAAATATGAGACCCACTTTGTAGCGTAATGTAGGCCGCATTTCTTTAACTGTAATATTGAAAGCCTATAAAGTGGGTTTTATTCTTGTTCTACAACATTCACTTTATATGATAGAGTAAGGGATTGGACAAAAAATCATAGCAGTGTTAAGTGGACAGGAAATTGTCTCATTTTAAGCTTAGCTTCCTGATTACTTTTGCAGCTTTTATATGATTCAACTATACCACCTTACTAGTTTTGTTTTTTCTTTCCGCTGAATCACTGTGAAATGTGTATTTTATGTCTGGGTTCATCCCAAAAAGTTTTTAGCAGGGCTTGAGCTAGCTATTTTACCTTCATCTTTTAGAATATAACAAAACCATGAAATCATGCTATCAGAGAACTTGACTATTAAAATTCCAACGCTGTCTTAAGGAAATAGTTATTTTACTTGTTGCAAATAAAAATATTTTTCTTTTAAAGTTGAGAAAGTGTTTGTCTCTTATATAAACCTCTTATATAAAGGTTATCTTTAGCTAGGAACAAATATATAATAGTATATAAAATCATTAGAATTTGCTTTTCATATTTGCTGAAAGTGCTGGTTATTTCTAATGTACCACCATTGCTTATACCAATCCCACATTAAATTGTTTAATTTGTGTAAAATGTCAGATATTCCTGTTACAAAATATATATATATATATTTTAATGGAAATGCACAAATGTGCTACTCTTTTGTGAAAATATTTAGGATTATAGATTTAGAGGTTGTTTAGTCCAACCTCATTTTATAGGAGAGGAAAGTATGGCCCAGTGGGTTAGTGATTTGTCTGCTGTAACACAGGTAGAGTGGCAGAGCAAGGATTTGAGCCTAGGCCCTCTGACTTCAAGTCCACTGCCCTTGCCACTGGAGCATAAAGTCCTTTTTTTCTCCTTGTACACATGATCTTTTGCAGGTTACCTGTTTCATTACAGGCATTGTGGTGTTTGGGAAAGTTTAGAGGACTAGGAATCTAGACATTGAGGTTCTAGGCTTGGCTCTTCCTTCACCAAACTTCTACCACTCAGCCTTAGGGCAAGGCGCAGTGTCAGTTTCCTCATCTGTCAAAAAGGATGATAATATTTTTCACCATGTCTGCTTTGTAGAACTGTTGTAAGATTCTAATGAGATAATACTTGAAAAAGTGCTCTGAAATGTTAAAAAGCATTATACAAATAAGGTAGTCATTATTTCTTAATAATAGAATTGCTTTTAGAGTAGACACAACCAGGGCAACTTTCCCTTTTATAGCTGGATTGTATAGCTTTAAACAGGGCAGTCAGGTGGTAGAGTGAATATAGTGCTTGGTAGGCCTAAAATCAGGAAGACCTGAGTTCAGATGTGGCTTCAGACAATTATCAGCTGACTGGCGCTAGGCAAGTTACTTTGTCTCAGTTTCCTTAGCTGTAAAATGGGGATAATGATAGCACCTACTTCCCAGTAGGATTGAGGATCAAATGGGGTAATTATGAAGTGCTTGCCTTAGCACAGTGCCTGGTACAGAGTAAACACTATAGGAATGTTAGTTATTTTTATAATTATTATTACATTTTTGCTTTCTAAATGGAAGTCATTCTTGTATTCTGAGAATTCAGAATTTAATCCCATCCTCATCCCAGTGTAGCTCTGTCACTTTAAAATCCTGTGTACCCTAGTGAAGATTCTTCAGATCTATACTTTTTGTTCATCTTCAGCTTTAATAAATACTCCCTGTTCCCCCAAACTTTGCCTAGTCATATTTCTTTACTCTCTACTCCTCTCCCTTTCAAGTCTAATCCTAGCTTTGAATGTGACATAGTATATGTTGTATGTGCATAATGGTATATATATGTAATTCATTCCCAAGTAAGTTTTTTTTTTAAGGAAATATTTTCATCATTGGTTAATTGTAATCATTGAATTCGATATAAAAGATATACTTTACAAAATAGTTGACTTCCTTGAGATAAATACTTATTTCCCCACAGAATTGGTTTAATATTTGTGGTTAATGACTCTGAAGATGTTGATGGGATGCAGGATGCTGGAGTGGCCGTTCTTAGAGCATATAATTATGTTGCACAAGATGTGGATGATTATCATGCCTTCCAGACTTTGATATCGGTAGGTTTTCATTTAAGGTGGTAAAAGTTTATGTCTAATGTATAATTAATTAATAATTAATTAATTATAATTAATGTATAAATTAATGTATAATTTTTAAAAGTCTGCAGTATAAAAGGATACTATAGTTCTCAAACGTGAGAAGGAGAGTATTGCTTTTTTTACAATTACATATGAAGTAATTGTTCTTGTAGAAATGCACACGTGTACCACTCCTCAGTGCAGGAATTTAAGATCATAGTTTTAGAAATTGTCTGGTCTAGTGCCCACATTTTACGGGTGAGAAAAATGTAAATTGCTCCTCTTCTGGTAAGAAGGGTACCTTCTTCCCTTTTAAAGGTTCATGCATCTGTAAGATACCACATCATAGTCTTTTTTCTTAAGGGAGTCAAAACTGCTAATCATATTTGACTGTGGCAAATTTAGTGGTGGCATTCTGTGGCTTTGAAAGCAGAGATGTTGAGAAACAGTTTTTCCCAATAGAGAATTGTGTTTTAGGCTAATAAATTATGTATTTTGAGAAGTATCAAAATACATGATGTATAAAGATAGGACATTGTTAGTCTCAGATTTACCTGACTTAATCTGAATGCTTGCTGAAATAGTAAGATGACATGCGGTAAACAATTTTCAAATTCAACTCAGGAAGCATTTGGGTGCATGCTAAGTGCTTGGGATACAAAGACAAAAAATAAATAGCTTCTGCTCTCAAGAAACTTACTGCTTGGTATCTTAGGCAAATGTTATCATTTTTCTTCATATGTTCATATTTTAGTGACTAATTAACATATCAAAGCCAAGATTCATTCTCTCTGACTGGATTTTCCCAGTCAATTGGCATTTTAGAAATGACGTCAAATGTGTATATTTGCACATTTAGAAACAAAATCTTTATGATTTGTTCTCCACCTTTTCCTTTTTCCTCATTTTAAATGTTAAAAAGACATCAGTAACTATTGTTTGTAGTTTAGCATTAACTTAATTGAGCCATGTTCATAACATATAAACCATTATTTTGGCTTTTTTTGCAGTTTATTTTTAAGTGTCATGGTAGTTTAATGTTCAGATATTTATAGTTTACAGATTCATTAAAATTAGTTTAGCGTTGACACTTTAAAAGGTTCCTAAAGTGAATAAATTTGTAAATAATTGCTACTAATACCTTGCTCGAAAATTTCTTTATTTTTAGAGTTTGGTCTTTCTTGATGGGAAAAGTGTAATTTTAATTTTTAGAAAAATTAAAAATTTCATAAGCAGATAGGTCAGTTTTTTATATCTGCATGTTTTGTTGGGGTTTATCTAATTATATTACACAGCAATTTACATAAATTAAAATGTATGATTTTGGGAATTTTCAGTGTTTACTCTAAAGAAGGAATCTTTAGGGAGTTTGGGAGAAAGGAGAATTAAACTTAATTAATAAACCTCAGAATTGATGATTTAAATCTTTATACAAAAGGAACACTTTTCTCAGCTTCCTGCTATGCTATTGAAAGAAAATTGGCCTGAGAATGACATTCATTCTACTTCAGCTAGGTATTTTTCTTTTTTTTTCTTTTTTTTTGGGGGGTGTGGGCTAGGCAATGGGGTTAAGTGACTTGCCCAGGGTCACACAGCTAGTAAGTGTTATGTGTCTGAGGCTGGATTTGAACTCAGGTCCTCCTGAATCCAGGGCCGGAGCTCTATCCACTGTGTTAGCTAGGTATTTTTAAAGTATAAAACTAAGCTTTTTTTTTTTTTCTCCTCAGATATATAACAAGGTAAAAACTGGAGAAAAGGTGAAAGTTGAACATGTTGTCAGTGTTCTGCAGAAGAATTATCCATATGTGGAAATAAATAGTATTTTGGGGATTGACTCTGCCTTTGATCAAAATCGGAAGGTAAAAGATTTATTGGTATTTCTTTTTCATTTGACTTATTTTCTCTTTTCTCTTTCTTTCATAGAAGAATTTTATGGCATAACATGGAGGACAGAAAACTTGAAAATTTTTCAGGGTTTGCGTGTGTCAGAATGTGAATGTTGGTTGTAGATTTCAGTCTTATGAAGAAAAAAGAGGCCATTCTGGCTGTTGGAGTGTTGAATGGGAAAATATTCAGTTTTGTGCAGATCAATTGATAATTTGATTAGTATGTATAGATTGTAAGGCTTTTGGCACAGTTCTCTGTTGAGTGTTGTTTTTTTTTTCCAGCCAAAGACAAGGTTTATTAGAACATCGTCATATTGGGCAGACTTTTAAGGAGTCTGAACATTAGTAAGCTATTGGCTAGATTATGAGAATCTGAGCCGTGGCTAGATTTTAAGAATCTAAGCTGTGGCTAGATTATAAGAATCCAGCCTTGGCTAGATTATAAGAATCTAAGCAATGGCTAGATTTTAGGAATCTGAGCAGTGGCTAGATTATAAGAATCTAAGCACCTTAATGGAGACAAGATGGACCTTATATACAGAAAGATTGTGGGAGGGATCCAGCAATGGCCAAATAGTCTGTGAGGTAATAGAATTCCAGAGACCTGGACCATATGGCCAAGAGACAATGGAGAAATGGCCTGGGGCCATAGGGAGGTCCACAGTGAAAGGCCAGTTGATGGGATTATAGCCTCAGGGGAACGCCAGAGATTTGGCCATGTGGGGAAGTCCAGGATTTTTCCTTTCTGGGACCCAGATCCCAACCCCATCATTCCCCCCTCAAACAAATGGGACCCAAATTCTTTTGGAGTAAGGGGCAAAGGTCTCGGTTTCTGAAACTGCTTCCTGCTGGCAAGGGACGTAGAACTGTCCCTGCCTCGAGGGGTTCCCAAAGAGGAGGTTGACTGGAACCGAGCACAGGCTGCAGGGAACGATGCGGGGACGTTGGTGGTATTTTCTGTTTGCTGCCAACTGTAGGTGAATGGCCTTTAGTCTGGAAGACACAAATCTGACAGAAAAAAACTGCAGGGCCCAGATATAAAACAGGGACTAGATTTAGGGCCCAACTTTGAGAGGATAAAACATCCTTAGCTCTGTTTGGACTCAGATAATTCAGTTTTCCAACCCTGCAGTGTCAAATCCACCTCATAGCCAGACTCAGGAATAGCCAGGTGGGTAACATTCCCTTTCAAATGAACATAATGGGGAAACTGAGCCAGGAGGATCCCATCTTAGACTGAGGCTAAAATTATCCTCTCAGCTTTTCCCGATGCTGACTTCCCAATAGTATCACCTTCTCTGAGTACCTTGTGGTATTTCTCTGAGTAGCTTGTGGCATTTCTCTCAGATGTTGGATTATTGATTATCAATGGATTATGACCCATCAGACAACTCAAAATAAAATCCTATGAGCTTTTACCTCAAACAGCAAGTTTTACTAATCACAGCTTAGGAAAAACTTTTCCAAGATTTACATCTCAAACTTAAATTTGTCCTGGTGTAAAAAACCCAATCATTAGAAATTTTTATACACTTGCAAATTCTCAGCAAGCCATACGCAACCCAAACAAACTTTTTGGCTAGTTTACACATTAAAACAATAACCAACAATAGTAAATTATTTTAGCAGTAACCAAATTATGAAAAGTTGCTTGACATAGCTGATGCAGAAAGTTAAGTTCAGCAATTTGAAACTTGAAACAAATCCATTACCAGTCAGGTGACTTCAGTTTTGTTAAATGCACTTACAAATTACTTTACACAGAGAATCAACATCTCATCATTAACAATTAAAACTAAACTTTAAAAGAGCGTGCTTACCCAAGTTTGGAGGCTAGCTTCATTACCTTGAGCAGGATGTGCTGAACCTGGGTGATGCTTCCAGGCAAAGGTTGCCCCAGAGCCCAAGGCCATTGCCAGTGGGGCCCATGCTGTAGCTGCTGGCCCCCCTCCTTCCTTTTCCCCAGGTGGGGGAGGGCGAAATCAAAAGTGAGGGGTAAAGTCTTTTCCTGTGAGAGGGGTTAACAGATACCCTCTTGACTCAAGCTAAGGGAGTGGGAGAAAAGAGTGACCAGGGTTATAAAGAGGAGTTCTAAACTCCTTAATGATCAATCACAAAACGTCCAGAATCTGCGAAGATATTTTTAGCTGTTCTAACTTTCCCTGTAACCTCCATGAAGGAGGATTCAGAGATGCAGAGGGAAGGGAGTAAGTAAGCCTCAGAGAACCAAAAAGCGACTGCAGTTTTCCCCAATTCCCTAGCACTGAGGGAATTAACAGGTACACTCCCAGATAGGGCATCCATCCTTGTCCTCTATGCTTTGGAAGGTGTACTCAGGTCCATGGCCTCGAACCAATCCAGTGGACCAAGAGCCTGAGAGTATCAGGCCCAAGTGTGAGACAGCCTCGTAACTGTCTGCCAGAAAAGCACCTCTAAGCCTTGGTGCTTGGAGAGCAACCCTAAACTGCAGAGCAAGAAAGGGAGGGATTGGAGGCTTACATACCTTCCAGTCTTGGCTGGAGAAGAACTTGGGGTTAGGCAGTTTTCCCGTATAGGCCACCAAAATGATGCGGTTTAGGGATTCAGGGGTCCTGGGACTCCAAAATCACAAAGATAAAAGAGTTTGACCCAAGCCTTTCCAGCCAAAGACAAGGTTTATTAGAACACCATCATATTGGGCAGACTCTTAAGGAATCTGAACATGGGTAAGCAGTGGCTAGATTTTAGGAATCTGAGCTGTGGCTAGATTATAAGAATCCAAGTCGTGGCTAGATTATAAGAATCCAACTTTGGCTAGATTATAAGAATCTAAGCCTCTGTTGAGTGTTTCAGTAAAAATTAGAACTTAAAGTTTGGGTAATGCAGCAATAGAAGGAGTATGGAATTTGATGTAGGACTTTAGCTGACTGCTGTTTTGGTGATTGTGCAGTCTTAGTCTAAGAATGATCTTAGGGAGAAAGGAAAGCACTATGCTAGGACAAGTAAATGTCAAAATACTGGAAAAAAATTATGGTTACAAGGATGCATTTTTTGTTTAAAGTTATTAATTTTCATTTAATTATTCAATAGGCATTTTAAAATCACCTGCAATGTGTAAAGCATTGTGCTAGAAGATGCGATAGGTTGGTCAGTAGTTAGGTAGGTAGATAGATAGATAGATAGATCAATCTACAATTTATAGATACAAACATACATACATATATTACATATATTTGAGGTTTGTAAAATGTTTTACATGCTTTTAATCATTTGATCCTTACATTTGGTATTCCTGTGAACCTGGTGTTAGAGGTATTATTGTCTCCCTTTTACACATGAGGAAACCCAGGCTTAGCAAAATGAAGTGATTTGCTCATTGCCATGCAGATAGTAAAATCAGAGATGTGGTTTGAACCCATGTCTCTGCTGGTTTCTACTCTGTATATTGCATCATTCTGCCTTCATATATCATGGGATCCAAAAACAAAAGGAAAAAAGAGCTCCCTCAAGAAATTTTTATTTTCTTCTATCTCTGTGAAATTCATTCATTTTTCAGGTAGTATAGGATGATCATAATGGCTTAAATTAGATATCCAAGGAATAGAAAAACAAAATACTTAGGAGTAAGTGGAACAACACAAAATTGGGCAATATAATATCTGTGTATTTTAGACTGGCAAATTCCTGGATGTACTATATAGGATATATATGATACATTTGAAAAGAAGTTTTAATAAAGTTTCATTAAATGAAAAGAAAATTAATAGGGGCAAAAAAGTAATGTCTAAATAAATGTAGGTTAAATGTCTCTAGATGCCTACTGAAAGGATATACTCATACTATGGAGGTGTGGACCTGTGAATTTATTGTTTTAAGAAACAGTGTATAGAAATTCCACCTGCAAATATCGATGAACAAGATGTTTATAATTTGTAGTCTTAGAGAGTTGCTTGAGGAACTGAAAGGTTAAATGAGTTGTTCATGTTTGCTTAGCTAATATGTATCAAGAGACAGGATTTGTGCTTAGGTCTTTCCAAATCTAAAACCAAGCCTTTTTTTATGTTACACCATGTTGACTTTCAAATTCGTTCTAAGATACCACAAATGCTGCCTCCAGACAAATAATGGGGACTCTCCTCAGTGATGGCTGTGGGCACTAGGCTGAAAATAGGATTGATGGTCGATTGTGGGATTTGCTTCAGGGTCATAGCTATCTCCATTCCAGTTGGAAGGGCAGTAGTGATGGTTTTATGTGCCTGACATATAGCTAACTACCTTTTGTCCCACCCGAAAGATGATTTCAGGCAACTGGTAATATGGTTAAAGGTTTGATTATTATCATAATCTTTCTTGCCTAGAATATTTGTAGAATGAGGGTAGGTTTTTTTTCCCCCTTTTGCCTCACAAAATCCTCAAGCTTTCTTGTCTTCTTGTGTTTATTACAGGAAGGAAGAGCTTACTATGAGCAGACAGGAGTGGGTCCTTTGCCAGTTGTGCTGTTTAATGGCATGCCATATGAAAAGGATCAGCTGGATGCAGATGAACTGGAAACCATCACAATGCATAAAATCCTGGAGACTACAAGCATCTTCCAAAGAGCTGTGTACTTGGTGTGTGAAGATTCTGAGCTGGATTTGGGTTCAGTGTGATCTCTTTTTTATTAAGTTCTAGTTTTTGTAGTTTGCCATAAAATTCTTCAAGCAGTGGAGTTTTACATACCCCAGTAGCAGTTGTTTTTAGATTCCCAGCAGGATGGCTGCTATTAATCTCTTCAGGAGCTTTCACTAAGAATGTTGAATTTGAAATGGCAAATGCTTTGAGATTTGGCATTAGTTAGCACATTGAAAGTAATAGTTTTCTCAAAGGATTTTTTTTCCCATACTATATAAGTTTTTTGATTTAGGACAATTGCCTAGAAATTAGAAAAAATAATTAAAAATTAAAAGTAAAATTGCTGTAGTATGAGTGGTTGACATGAATATATTTCAGAAATGGTTTGGTTATTGTGTTCAGTATTGTGTTCAAATAAAAAAATTGTTCCCAAGTAAAATCTATGGACCTCACCAAATCTAAGTAAGGTAAAATTTTGGTGAATATGTTCTCTCTCTTAGAATTTCCTCTTCATGATTATAATTCAATTTGTTTCATCAAACAGTTGCTTTCTTATTTTTAGGTACTGCTCTCAGAGTGAAAGCTTAAGTTCATGATTCTCTACTGAGTGATATTTGTTTTAGTTGCTCAGAGTCAGAAGCAACTTGAGGAATAATCTTATCACTGCTTTAAGGGAACACAGTAAAATAGTTGGAACTCCTCAGATATTCATGCTTTAATTTTATGTCTGTATATCAGTATTGTGGAACGTGACAGTTCAGAGGAAATAATTTTCTTTCTAAGACATTTGACTTGTTGTTTAGAATAATAACCTTAAATTTCCTCTAATTGCCATGCTTTTTCTTTATTTCTTATTTCTCTTGTTGAAAGTTTGGGTTAGGCTTATTTAATTTGTATCAACACATCTGAAATGATTAGTCACAGTGTGTGTATGCCTGCACTGTGTCCTGCAAATGTTTATTTAACCTTTGATAGTAAATTTTTTTTTTAATAGGAGAGCAGGTTCAAATTCACAGATTGTGCTTGTGATTGTGCTACCTCAAGAATTTGTTCTTGGTATTGGGCTAAGGAGATAGAATTAGCACTTACCAAAAGAAAAGTCTAAACTAGATTCTTGAATAGAATTTGAAATAGAATTTGAATTCTATTATTCTTCTTTTAAAAAATCTATTAGGGGTAGCTAGGTGTCACAGTAGATAGAGCACCGGCCCTGGATTCAGGAGGACCCGAGTTCAAATCTGACCTCAGACACATAACACTTACTAGCTGTGTGACCTTGGGCAGGTCACTTAACCCCATTGCCTAGCCCCCCAAAAAAACAGAACAAAACAAAAAAAATATATTAGTCATAAAATATATTAATTTTTTAAAACTTTGCAAACATTACTATCACTATGGATCCTACTTTTTGGAGAATTTCATTAGTGAGCATAATTATTGTAATGAATTAATAAAATGTGTTTGGAAAAGAAGAGAAAACTTTATTTAGAAGCAGAGGTGATTTTAGCCATTCTTTCTCTCTTAAAAATAAAAGACATTTGCTAGAGAATCTTTTCTCCAAAGATAATACATTGACAATTCCATTCACACTAAGTCTTTAAAAAGTTGAAGACTAAGATCACAGTTCTACAGCTTTCTGCTCTCCCCAATTTGTACTTTGATTCTTCCCTCTAGAGAAAAGCTAAAATAAAAAAACAAAAAACAACTACTTACTCTTAAATTCTTTTAACGTCATTGTAGTGAACATGGATTTAAGTAGGGCAGGAGGCCACATTTTTCTGCACTGTGTTTGTATCCTGTTAGAGTTTAGGAGGAGTTTACTTATACAAAAAGTTACTTATAAGATTTTTCCATCTTTGATTTTCTTGTAAACCTATTATAATGGCAATGCTTTAACTGGTCTTTATATTTTCTCTAGGGTGAACTGTCTCACGATCAAGATGTGGTTGAATATGTCATGAACCAGCCCAATGTTGTTCCACGAATCAATTCCAGAATTTTGACAGCTGAGCGGCAGTATCTGGATTTAACAGCAACTAGTAAGGGCCATCTTCTTTAACAATTATAGAATAAGAGGCACTTTCAGAATCTTATGCTGATTAAACTGGGGACCTTTCAAGTTGAAGTTATATTTATTGCTGCCTCTCTAAAATTGTAAGTTCAAAGTACAAAGCAAGAATATCATTGATGTCTGAGAGCCCTTCCCCCTGCAAACTTGTGGAAGCTGTTTTTTAAGCTTTTAAATTTCAAAGATTTTCTTTCTATCCTTTCCCTCTCATCATGGTACCCTCCTGCTACTCAAGCCACCAAAAAAGAAAAAAAGAGACACAGGAATAAATTCCTTAGAAAACAGATGACTTGTAAAATATTTTTTTTAAAATACCCAGTGCTATATAAATACCAATTAATGGAATTATTCATAAGAATAATATAATATAATGTTGACTTCCCTGAAAGTCAGCATGTAAGGGATGCCCTTTCTTTATCTTCCCTTTACTTTAACCTGTCACCCTGAGGCATGTAGCTCTGAACTGAGGACCTTAGAATACCTAAACCTGGGACATTTATTTTGAATACCTCTTAGCAACTGTAACCTTACTTTAAGCTTAGCTTTGTTGGCTTCTTCCTTGGGTGTACTCTTAAGCATTTAAATATCCAACTTAAAAGTGCTGTGGGGAGTCTTATCACTTGTTATTATGGTGGCCATGAAGGCTCATTCAGAGAACCAAAAAAGATTCAGTTCCAGTAATATAACAAGCCCATGATATGTCTGCAAGGCCTGGAAGGGCTAAACTAAATACGAATTGGTAGGGAGTTTGCGAAAGTAGAAAGGATGGTCAGTATTTCAGATGGGATAAAAGAAATAGGACTTTTGGAGGGGTGGTGCTTGATAGAATATATTAGTGATTAGAGAGGGTGGGCAGATTAGTTAATTAATGGAGGAGCTTGTAGAGTTGGCTATTGTCAAGTTTCCACTTACCTGTCTAGTCCACCTCATTGCCTCACAACAGGATTAGTTTTATACTCGCTTCTTAAATGATCTTATCGATTCTACTCTTACCATTTGTCTGTCCTTCTAACACACCACAACCAAATAAACCTTGAGACATTAATTTCTTTACACTGCTACTGTTCCCATGCCCCAAACCCCTCACTAATTCCTCTCTGTAAAGTCTCTTTCTCTCCTCCCCCAAGTAGGTATTTATGTTTGTGTATGTATAATATGATATGCTGTACGTGGTTTCATTTTACTTTAAAAGAAAAGCCCCCTGAGAAGGCAGAGACCATTTTATAAGCACGTTATACTTCTCATTTCAAATAAACAACAAAATCCTATCCTATCTCATAATGCTAATAAGAAATATTTGTATGTGACATGAGTGTAAATCTCTGTTATTTTTTCCTTTTCAGATAACTTTTTTGTGGATGATTATGCTAGATTTTCTCTTTTGGATTCACAAGATAAGACTGCAGCTGTAGCCAATAGTATGACCTATTTGACAAAGAAAGGTAATCACTTTGGATCTTATCTTTGATTCAATATATATTTGGTAATTGTGACAATAGTTTTTATCATCTCCTGGGAAAGATGCTATGAAATTTCATTTGGTAACATTTCAAACAGTAATTTTGAGTTCATTGTAAGAACTGATTGATGGATTGAAAATGGTTAATTCATTATTGTAGGTTATTATCTATTTCCCAGAATTATTTAGAGAAACTCAGTCATTGAAAGCTTTATTTGTATGTATTATTTATGATTTTTAGGTAAAGTTTTTTTTTTTACTGATACTTGACTTTATTTATAAAAGTCTTCTCTTGAGGTCAGAAAATAACCATCTTTCCTTCTGGGGAAGTTATGCTTAAGATCTTGTCATATTTATTGCCTTTTCACAATACTAAGTATCAGCTGGAAAAGCTAATTTTGTCCATTCTGAATTCCTCTCAGTGAGAAAATTTGGTTTTCATAGCATGTATATTTAAATGCAGAAATTTATGTGCCATCTGGTTCCCCAAAGAAATAAATTTTTCAGATTAAAATAGTGGGGCTGTACTCCAAATAATGATATAGGAATTTCTGAGGCTCTCTCCCATCTTGGACCCAAGGAATTGTGTTTAAGATTCTTTTTCTTCAATTGTGCTTTGATATTATTTCCAAAGTGAAATTTCGTTCTCTCCCACTCATTTGCTCCTTTCCTATTGTCCAGGAATGTCTTCCAAGGAGATCTATGGTAACTCATAATTTCAGAACTTCAAATTCCTTTATTTAAGTATCTTGTATCTTTTCTGGGAACCTCATAATTGGGAATTTACTAACACTTCATAATGAGGGCCCTGGAACCTGTGGGTAACAACAGCTTTATAGTAGTGAAATTAAATTTTGTTTAAATTGATGTAAAGTTTAATTACACATCAACAAGCTATAATTTTTTCAAAATACAGTATGTTACTTGCAAGTTCAAAGGTTCCTTGTAAGTTCAGGTGCTAATGGTGCTAATTACACAGTGTAATAGAATTAATCAGTGCATGTCTGGAACTAAGCCATATGGATATAAACTCTTTTATCTTTTTGCATGTAAGTACCAATACTTTCACTTTGTCCTTACTAAGAGCTTTGCATTTTCTAAAATCTTGCATGGGTGGGTTTCAGATGTGCTTTTTGGTGCATTACTGGTGTTGTACTGTATGAAATTTCTTGTCCCTCCAAAAGGTGTTTTCATTTTTCCACAGATGATTCTTTTATTAGACCAGTAACCTTTTGGATTGTTGGGGATTTTGACAGCCCTTCTGGAAGACAGTTATTATATGATGCCATCAAGCACCAAGTAAGTCTGTGCAGGTTCTCTTTGTTTAGGGCTAGAATTGTCCTCAATAAGGTATCCTTTTTTCTTAACAGTTTTAGCAGAACAGCACTGAATTGGGAGTCAGAGGACCTGTGTTTGAATCTTAACTCTGATACTTAATACCTGTGTGACCTTGGGCAAGCCACTATTTTCTCATTGTTCAATGAGGGGATTGGACTAAATGATCTCTGAAGTCCTTTACACTTAATCTTCTAATCCTATAATGTGTCTGGGTTTGTAGGCAAACAGGATTTTTATTTCCTTATTGGTTGAGTGAAAGGAATATAGGTATTATAGAAAACTGTCCATTAGCTGGGAAGGAGAGAAAAGACTACTGTACACTAGTCTTGCACAAAAGAATAGGTTGCTTTAAAATGAAAGAGAAAGATTAAAAAGAAATAATGAGAACCGCGGTAACTTAAAAGTACTTACTTAAACCCAGTGATTAACATTACCTTAGGTGAGGCAAATGTTTCATTGCATTTGATATAGTAAAGAGAGGATTCTTATTCTTATTTTTATTTTTTTTTTAATTTTTTTGCTTTTTGGTGAGGCAGTCGGGGTTAAATGACTTGCCAGGGTCACCCAGCTAGGAAGTGTCAAGTGTCTGAGGTTGCATTTGAACTCAGGTCCTACTGACTCCAAGGCTGGATCTCTATCCACTGCGCCACCTAGCTACCCCAGTATTTGTATTTTTAAAGACATTAAAATAGAAGGCAGATAAGAAAAGATAGGTCAAACTATGTCAGTGAACCCTATTTGACCCATCTATCAAAATTCCTTATTTGGCATAAGAAGAGATACAACTTTGTTCAGTGATCTTCTTATTAATATTAAGCAAAGCATAAAAGAGGCATGCTCATTTAATGTCTCTCCACCACCCCCCCATTATGGAGCGTGGCTAACACAGTGTCCAAATGGAAGAGGGAGTTTGCAACTGATGAGGTCCTCCAGATATTCCTGTTTGTGGAAGACATTGTGCTACAAGCCATGGAATAATGTAGCTTCCTTTTTGATATTCATAATCCCAATTAATACACATACACACAAGCATGTGGCCTATTTCTACACAGTAAGAACTAAGCAGATGAAGAATATGTATTTCCAGACTGTGATATGTAATTGCATGGACAGCCCATTGAATTGATCTAAATCTTAATTATACCAGATGGACAGTGAGGTAGGCCCAGAATAGAATGGGATAGAGAGAGGCTAGATTGCATTTGGGAAATTGTGTATGGCTCTCAACAATTCCAGCCTGCTCCCAGAAACAAAATCACATCTTTTTAAAACAAGTTTTCTTCCTATGACGCTCTGTGGCTGTAAATTGTGAAGTATTACACACTGGGAAGAATCAAATTTGTGGGTGATCCAAATGACAATGAACAGTGTTACTCAGCATAAATGAACTACACTGTGCTTCTAGTCTTTAGTCATCACTGGCTCACAAGAAGTGGCATAAGAAGATACTGTATAAGAAATGTATAATCTGAAAAGAAGGTGGGGCAATCACATAATAAGTGTGAGAGATAAGAGGACCTGATACTACTCTTGTTCCTGTGTTAAAAGACCTAGATGAAGGTTTTTAACACTTTGGGTGGACTCTTTATGGAAGATTTTATGAGAGGATATGGACAAAAGTTCCTCAGGAAGAGAATGAATGGATGACTTATAATCTGCACTGTTGGATGGAGTACCTATGTAAGCTGAGATCACAGGTCCTTTGAAGTACATGAATATGTGTGAGTAGACACTGAGAAAATAGGGATACAAGTACAGATATTGGAACATGAAAGGATTATAAAGAAGGAGAAAGAAATTATTTTAAAAGTAATTGTTCCATGAAAATAAAGTGCTGTATTCATTCCCTTGAGCTTTGTCACATTGATTAGAATTAGACAATCCATGTCTAAATCTTTCTGGTTATATTAAACCTTTTTTTTAAGAATAGTCGAATTGCCGGTTACTTTCCTTTTTAGTCATCAGTTAGTATTTTGCAAAAGTGCGCTAATATTATTGCTACTTTTTGTTTAATCACATCCACTGAAGAACTTTTAACCCTCATTTTGTTAACACAGAAATCCAGTAATAATATTCGAATTAGTATGATCAATAATCCTCGTGAAGAACCACGTTTTGAGAACACTCGAATCTCCAGAGCTCTCTGGGCAGCTCTCCAAACACAAACATCTAACTATGCCAAGAATTTCATCACTAAAATGGTCAAGGAGGAGACTGCAGAAGCTCTGGCAGCAGGAGTTGACATTACAGAGTTTGCTGTCGGAGTAAGTCTTTGTGCCTTTTCTACACTAGTTCCATTCCATGGCTCGCTATACCAATGAATCCCTGAAGGGCTGATGCCGTCTTGTTCATTATCACATCAGCTTGTAAAATTCTCATTCCTAGCCTCAGAGGGCTCATTTTAAAAATTGTGTGAATCCCTCCTGGAAAGAAAAATTCTGCGACACTTTTTATGTCTTTGAAACTCACTGGGTTTCATAAAGTATATGAAGTAAATCCAGAGTCCTTGGTTCATACAGTGCTTTTATCACTGTGACATAACACTGGATCTGCACATTTATATGACCAAAAAAGCATTATTTGAATCATACATTTTTGGAGCTAGAAGCTTGTGAATTCTAGGTGTGTTAGTTATATGAACTCATGCTGTGAAGTTAATTAATTTAATTACTCTGTTCAACTTTTTGGCAGTTGATAAAGTATTCTGGTTTTAAATGTGTTTTGAAAATAAATAATCAGTTCTTGAAATGTACATTTTCTTACGAAAAGAAATTAATTTAAAACAAAATGGACAAGATTGAGAAGTACAGACTAAGTTTGGCAATGAATTTTGAGAATATTGATTTAATTAAATTATACAAAGAAATAACCAAAAATTACTAGCTTATTAGAGGGAGCCAGCTATATTATATGCTATGTAGTGTTACTGATAGTAACAGTGAATCATATTCCATCGTTAATTATTCAACCAAAAGATTTTTTTAAACCCCCCAAATTTCAATTTAATCATTTTGATCATTTAATAAAAGCAGTTCTAATTTTTCTTTTAGGGCATGGATGTTGGCCTTTTTAAAGATGCCTTTGAATCTTTCAAAGCAGATTTTATTTTGTCTCACGCTCTGTACTGTATGGAGGTTCTGAAGCTGAAGAGGGGAGAAAGGGCTGTGATCAGCAATGGACGGGTAAGGGATTCAACCATATTGAAGACAACACAGTTTCAAAGTAGAGCTCGTTGTGCGTGAGATCATTGAAGTGTCCCCCTCTGAAATGTATAAATTCTTCAAAACAGTATTTCTTTTTCTTCCTAAACATGATTTTTGCATGTCAGCCAACAACCATTTATTTATTTATTCATTTATTTACTTAATCATTTGTTTGTTTTTGTTTGTTTGTTTATTTACTTATTTACTTATGTAGGCTTGGCAACTGGGGTTAAGTGACTTGCCCAGGGTCACACAGTGTCTGAGGCTGAATTTGAACTCAGCCTTATTCCTCCTTATTCCAGGGCCAGTGCTCTATTCACTGTGCCACCTAGCAGCCTCAACAACCATTTATTTAAAGGCCACTTTGTGCCAAGCATTGTGCTATGTCCTGGGGATACAAATTCAAGAAAACAAGACAGACCCTTCCTAAAAGGAGCCCACACTTAAATAGGAGAAGACAGCACATCACAGGAAACCATAAATATGAGGGATATTGGGAAAGGGATGGTTTGAAAATGACTGATCCTGGAGGCAATAGGAAGCTATTGGAGTTGAAGGAGGCTGGGTGGGTGGGAGGAACATGGTCAAAACTTGTATTTTAGGAAGATCAGTTTGACAGCTGAATGGAGGATGGACAGGAGTGAAGAGAGACTTGAGGCAGGGAAACCGTCTGATAGGCTATTGCAGTAGTCTAGGTATGAAGTGGTGAGAGCTTGGACCAGGATTATTGGTAGTGTCAGAGGAGAGAAGAAGGTGTATGCAGGAGAGGTTATGAAAGTAAAATCGACAGACCTTGGTAAATTGGATAGTGGGGTGAGAGAGAGTGAGGGGTAGAGGATGACATTCTAGGTTGTATTCTTGAGTCACTGGGATGATGGTAGTATTCTCAACAGTAATAGGAAATTAGGAAGAGGGGAGATTTTTGGGAGAAGGATAATGAGTTCAGTTTTGGATGTGTTGATATTAAGAAGTCTACAAGACATCCAGTTTGAGATGTCCAGTAGGCTGTTGCAGATGCAAGACCAGAGGTCATTCAATTCTAAAGGACTAATGATAAAAAATGACTATCCACCTCCAGGAACTGATGGACTCTGAGTGCAGATTGAAGCATACTTTTTTAAAAAACTTATTTTATTTTTCTTATTTTTTTGTGTGTGTTCTTTTGCAGAATTGCTAATATGGAAATATGTTTTGCGTGACTTCACATGTATAATTGATGTCATATTGCTTGCCTTCTCAGTGGGTTGGGGTGGGTTGAGAAGAAGGGAGAGAATTTGAAATTCAACATCTTAAAAATTAATATTAAACATTTTTCACATGTAATAGGAAAATATTTAACAATATAAGTAAAAATATATTTGAAAAAGAAAAAAAAAGATGAGGTCATAAAGAGGTTAGGACGAGACAAATATATCTGAGAATCATCTGCCTAGAGATGATAGTTGAAACCATGGGAGTTGATGAGATCACCGTATAGATTTGTCATCTTCATAAAAGGTGATTATTGAAGCCATCAGTTTGTGAAATGATAGAGTGAAGGGGATAGATGGGGGGAGAGAGAGACAGACAGACAGAGGGAAGGAGAGAGGGAGAGTGCGTAGATAGGTGTAGAGAGAGAAAAGAGTACAGCTTATAGTACTTGGGAACACCTTTGCAAAGGGGATGAAATATTCTTAGAATGTGGACATAGAACTAAATAAAAGGTATGGTATGACCAGTGTGATTGGAGGGACTTTAACTTCCTGTTGTTTGTGTGCTCACATCATTGTAATCTGTGATTGCATTATTTGTTTTTTGGTTCTGGATCATACTAAAATTTCATCATTATGTAAGTCTTTCGATCATACAACTAACCACCATGCTTCTGTTTTCTTCACAGATTATTGGGCCGTTGAAAGATAGTGAACTTTTTAATCAAGATGATTTCTACCTACTAGAAAATATAATTCTAAAGACCTCAGGGCAGAAAATCAAATCTCATATTCAACAGCTCCGGGTAGAGGAAGATGTGTAAGTTTGAGATGAAAGGAACTAATAGATTAGCTTAAGACAGAGGGCCTCTTTTAACAGGATATTTTCTTACTAAATCTTTTTTTGTAGTTGTCTATTTTGTGCATATGCTAATCATAAAAACATGCTTTATTTCTTGATTTTAAAAATACAGTAATAGTCCCTAGTTGCACATTTTACTTGATAATCTTTTTGAAAAAAAGAAAAATAAGCCAGTGTAAATCTTAGTAGACAGAGAACTGAACTTGTTTTTTCTTTTCTATGTGGAAGAAAATAAGTTGTTTTTCTGGACTGAGTGTATACTGTCTGTCCTGAAGCCATGTGATCACATGTTCATGGATGCTGAATTTCCATTGCATCTTGAATGTTTAAGGACAGACTCTAAAATTCAAAAGGTTCTCTGCTATTACGTTCAAGATAAGTGTTAGAGTCAAGTCTTTAGTGGCTGCTGGAATCATTGCTTTGCCAAGTTGTTTGTGTAATATGTGAGGAACTGCTCAGGTCAACTTAACAGTCATAAAGGAAGGTACTTCAACAAACAGATGCCTTTCAGATGGTGCTTAATATGCCAGCATTTGCTAGCTACAGTTGGTTGCATACTTTGTAGGATGCCCCTGGGCCATACCTCTGTCTACTGGACAGGCTTTGGGAGTTCCTTAGAATGTCTTTGCATTTTAACCAGCATGCCTATGAAGCTGCCTTGTCCCTGAACCACTAGAGGTAGGTCCATTTTTAGCTGAGTCATCCTTAAAGTTCACTGCCAGCCAGGGAGATTCTTTAATCACCAGATTCCAAAATAGTATCAGATAGAAGGGCAGCTAGGTGGCACAGTGTTTAGAGCACTGGGCCTGGAGTTAAGAAGACCTGAGTTCATATCTGGCCTCGGCCACTTGCTACCTGTGTGACCTGGGGCAAGTCACCTAACCCTATTTGCCTCAGTTCCCTTATCTTTCAAATGAACTGGAGAAGGAAATGGCAAATGACTCCCGTATATGCCAAGAAAACTCCAAATGGGATCATGAAAAGTTGGACACAACTGAACAACCAATCAACCAGATGGACCCTGAATTACTCCTTTTCCTCAGGGTCCTTCTAGCTATGGAGCTTTTGGTAGAATTCTTTCTGTCAGCCACAGATTCCTCTCGCTGAGACTTCCATGGCTATAGCTGTAACTTTAGACAGGGTCTCCTTTGAAATATCCTGGAGTGATGGCATCTTCCATCCTAATTTTTTAGATTTTTAGATTGTTCCTTAGGGGAACCCACTTGCCTGCTGGCTTGTTTTTGGCTCCTACTCCAGTGGAAGAGTATACATAACTGGGTACCCCTTGATACCACATGAATGATAAGAGACCATACTCCCTTCTTGTAATGATTCTATCATGCTGATATTTAAAGTTAGAATCAGAGACTTAAACCAAACAAAGCATCAGTTTGGAACATTTTTGACTCAATTTTGTTTGTCTGACAGTTCAGTACTGTTAGAAAATTTTTGTATTCAGTTCTGTTTCATACTGGTTCACTTAATATGTTTCTAGTTTCTGTTAAACTTTGACTTAAACTGAAAGTATTATTTTTGGGGGTTCAATATAATAGTTTGCTATTTTGGTTCATGGTTTGGTTTAGTTTCTTTAAATTCAATTTCAGAAATGGAGCAGATATCATCAAATTATTTTACATAATAATCTTGATAGATGTCTTTTTATACATCCATTGATGTTTCAGATTTTATGTAGATGTATATTTGAAAAGCCTTCCATGAGAGAAGTATGCTAACATCTAACAACATTTCTCTTAGGGCGAGTGACTTGGTAATGAAAGTGGATGCTCTTCTCTCTGCCCAACCTAAAGGAGAGGCAAGAATTGACTACCAGTTTTTTGAAGACCGACACAGGTATATAAGTCATGGTGACATTTCAGTACATACTGTGTAACAGGTTTGCTTTTCTTATTCCATGTGATTTTGAATTTAATATGCAGCACTTTTTTTTTATTGTAGACTTTGAGTGGACTTATGTGTTGGAATAGGAAAGTCATTAATTACTTACTTTTCAGCTTGCTTATCTATCAGCTTCTATTTTTCTGTTCTTGTAGAAGTTGACAATTGTCCCTAAGTGATTTTGTGTCATTTCTCATTTTGGCCTTTAGAAAATACAAAGGATTTAGTAAAATAGACCAAAGGATCTTGTCGGTTCAGTTCAACAAACTCCTGTCTAAGTCTTTATCCAAGTGCTGAGGATACAAAGTTAGATCTGTATTATGGCTTCTGATCTCAGGGAACTTGCATTTTAATGATACGAATACTAAGTACCCAAATAACTGTGACAGAGTGAAATAAGCATAAAAGAGAGACCATTTTTACCTTGGGGTGGGAGTGAGGGGGATAAAAGTGAGAAAAAAGTTCCTGGAGAAGGTGGCCCCACAGTTGGGTCTTGAAGAAGGGGAAGGAAATGGAATTGCCATTGCATGCATGGGAGATGACATGGCAAAAGGCATGTGTAGAGCACAAAGTGAGGATATGCAGTAGAGGATGCAGTTGCCTATTTTGGTTGTTAAAGAAATCTTGAAAGAGAGCATTATGAAATAAGGTTGGATACATCCTGGAAAAGTATTCTATGTGTGCTGAGATAACATCTAATTTGGCCTAGGGGCAAGGGCAGGTAAGGAAAAATTTCAGGATTCATTAGAAGTTGTAGAACTGCGTTGATTTTTGATGAAATCTATGTGACACTGTCAGGAATTGGGTTAGGTGAAGGGCCCTTGCTGTCGGTACTAACTACCTTTTTATCTTTACCTGGCTAGCACAGTTATTAAACATGGTAGTTACCCATTTTGGCCTAGTTTACCTGGGTTTTCAAAGCTACAACTTACCAGGGGTTCTGATTTATTATGAAACACAAAATGGTAAAACTGGTCATTCATAGATAAGCATTGTGTGGATACTTATGGTGGATGAGCATCGTGAGCATGAGAGGGAAGGATTTCTCAGTTCTTTATTGGCATATGAAATGAGGGCAGCTGATTTCTTTGGCAGTTTGAGTTTGATTTTTGCATAATTTCACCCAGATGCTGAGTCTATGCCAGCCTTCTTCGTAGTTCTTATAACTGAATCTAAGCCAGTCCTTCTTCCTAGTTCTTGCAAGATTTAATAAGAAATAAAAGATTTTAGAATATAAACCAAGACTTAGACCAGTTATGGTTCTCTATTGTATGTAATTCACAAAGATTATTTTTTTCTGATATCCATCTATTGCTCTATCTACATATAGAAATATGCCATATAGCTATATCTACATATAGATATATCGGTATATATATGACAATATCTATTTACATATACGTACACAAGTGTTCATCTAACATATATAACTTAGATGTCATAAAGGTGTGTCAGATGCTCCTCCAGTCCCCTAAAACACAATCTTTTGTTTGCCGTATTTGAAGTTTTTTAATTGACTATAACTTTAAGCCAATTCTGAGTGAGCCCAAATTGTTAGGATTTTGCACACTTAGAGGAAGGAGGGCTATTTGTCAGTAGACCATGCTGCATGGAGAACAACACATCTGATGTACATTTTGTACTGCTGTGTGTGACCCCTTTACCTTGTGTGAAGAATCCACTCTTGTGTAAAACTTCTACTTTGTTCCCATTCTCAGAAAATGGTGTAGAGAATGAACTCTAAACATAGAATGCCTTGTTTGGTTATAATATTTTAATATCTCTTCATCTGTTGCCTTCTATCATTTTATAGAGTACATTAAGCTTTACAAAGTGCCGTTGTCTCTTCTGTGTCCACATTGTTGCTTCTTCCATCTCTACGCTTCTGCACAGGCCTCCATCACTCCTCTTAAAGCTCAGCTCCAGACCCCTCCTACCTGATCCCTTTGCTGTCTCCCTTCCCTCCAAACAGGGTATATCTCTTTCCCCCTCAGTCACTTGTATGCAACCTGCATGTACTTTCTTATTTTCCTTGATAGACTCTTAAACTTCTTTAGGGCTGTGGGACTGTCTCGTTTTTTTCTGTATCTCCAGGGCCCAGCATGGGGCCTGACACAATGCAGATGCTTAATAAATGCTGCTGCTTGATTGAAAGTCCAGTGAGGTGGGTGGTACAAATGTTATTATCCCTATTTTACAGGAGAGGAAACAGAGGTTTAGAGGGGTGAAACAATTGGTCTGTGCTCATATGACTGGTGCCAGAGTTGGGTATTAGACTCAGGTCCTCTGACACTAGCACTGGGTTGTCACATAGCCTCTAATCATTGGATTCTAATTGAACCAATAGTGTCAACTATCAAACAGGCTTTTCTCCTAACTCTGCTTCTTGACTTTGTGATTACTGAAGGTTGTTACATATCCAAATGAAATAATAAAGGATTTTTGGATTTTAAAACAGGACTCAAGCTAGTTATAACCCTCCACAGTTTATTAATCACAAAGGCTCTTTGAGCTACTCACTACCTTTATCTTCATACATGTAGATGGAGATAACTGTTCAATATATGTTCCACTTTCTCTACTTAGACACAGACCTGCTAGATGCATTCTTTTTTTTTTTCCTGGACTAAGCCACCAAGTCTTTTTAATTTATTTGGATTTATTGACAATCACTTCCATAAGCTTTTGAGTTTTGAATTTTTATCCCCCTCCCTCCCCACCTCCCTCCCCAAGACAGTGAGCAATCTGATATAGGCTATACATATACATTCCTGTTAAACATTAGATACCATCTTAAAATTCCTGAAAATGCATCCCTTTACGTCCTAAGCCCTCTTCACGTTTTTTTAGTTGAAAACACTTAAGCTAATTTATAGTGTGCCTAAATTGTTAGAATTTTGCATACCTCTGGGAAGAAGGTGGTTTGATACCTGATCATACAAAAGGACATAGCCCTGGAAACTCAACAGTTTAGACCAGGGATTGGCATGCTATGGCCTGCAGGCCAAATGAGGCTCACTGCCTGTTTTTGTATGACCCAGGAATTGGCCGGTCTACACCAGCACTTGTGGGAGTTTTATATATGCTATAAAGATTGACAGAGGGAAAAGCCAATATGTGAACTAAAGGCCTAAACATTTAACATTATATTCTGTTTGCTTCTGGCTAATGGTTTTTTCCCCGTTTTTCTTTTTTAGTGCTGTTAAATTGAAACCAAAGGAAAAAGAGACATATTTTGATATAGTGGCCATTGTTGACCCTGTTACCAGAGATGCTCAAAGACTTGCTCCACTCCTTATGGTATATTCTTTTCTTGCATATTCTTTAGCACAGTGCCTGGCACATAGTAAGTGTAATAAATGACTTCTCCATTCATTCATTCATTCATTCATTTACTTATTCATTCATTCACTCATTCATTCATTTCCTGGTAGTATGCCTAAAGCAATAATGCTTTAAAGATAATCTTTAACTAAAATAATTTGTTCCACATCCTATAATTATTTTAGTATTTTGACCATTCTGCATTAACTTATTTGGGTCAGAACAATATTAGAAAACTCCAAAGAGAACTTTTTGGGGTGTAGAAGAATACTTAAGATCGAAAAGGACTTTATAGGCTTTGAAATTAATATGGATTTGGGTCATCCTATGCATCTTCTTTAAAAAATTATGGGAAAATCATGTTGGTTTGTTAACCAAAGGGAGCCAGAGAAAAAAACTATTCTGATATATTCAATTTATGGCATGTTTTACTGCATGATATAAAAGTCAAAGTAAGCAGAAAGCCATCTGTCTGTTTACTTCTCTTTCATAATTACTATATGAATGTATTTTTATTGTAGTATTACGTACCCCAAATTGGAAAGAAACCTAATTTTAATTCCATACACTACTAAAAACATTCCAAGAAATTTTGTCAGTGAGTCCAGCTAACTTTTATTGCATATTGTTTAACGATAAACTACAGTTAGTACAATTAACTTTTTAAAAATGTGCATTTTTCCTTTAAGTGTTTCACTGTCCTTTATGGTTTAAAAAAAATGTTGACATATGTTCATGTTTGTTCTTCTTTAAGCTTTGGGTGGGGAAAATCTGTGGTTCACTCCCAACATGGGGCAGCTACTTAACACCTAAATTATCTGTGTGGGAGATGTGTATCATCTTCTGTCAACCCCCTTATTCCTTCTCCTGTGGCTTGAAGCTGAGCTCTATGCATAATAAAACCAATAGTAGGAGTCAGGCTACATAAAATTCTTTATGAAAATGTCTTTGTCCATGCTAGATAGTACATGGCAGCTCTGTTCCTTCTATAGATTGATAATAAAAAATGCCACCACTCAATATGTCTTTCAATTTGTAAAGTTTTGTAAAAAATAAAAATTAAAATCTGTTACCTGAAGTCAGAGATGTTTTCTGTAACAAGAATTTTGTTTTGCCTTTTTGTTTCCTTTTAGGTTTTGACCCAGCTAATAAATATGAATCTAAGAGTGTTTATGAACTGCCAATCTAAACTTTCAGACATGCCTTTAAAGAGGTAAGTCAAGCCTTTAACCTCTGTGGTGATCACTGTTCGCAATATGTCACCATGTCTTGAAGCAACAATAGAAATCACGATCATATTGGGCAGGATTAATCTAATAAGCATTTACATTTCAGAACTTCTCCACTAGTCAGAGGTTCTGAGAACTCAGTATAATTTTGGAAGACTTAAAGGGAACCACAGTAGGCTCTTTTTTGTTAGTGTTCCGATTTTTCCATCTTTTCCTTCCCTTTCATTAGTGAGACTAGGTACAGTATTAACAGTAATTTGACTCATAAGTATCTTTGGTTCACTTAGCTAATAAATGTCTAATCAGATTTAATGTTTATGTATAGAAAATATTCAAAGCTTAAGCTATAGGAAGTCACCAAGTTACAAACAGGTTGTATTTCCAGTTTGTTTTTAAGCCTGCCTTTTGGAATGTGATGCGTTTTTTCACTGGATGCACGGAAAGACAGAAATGAAACCAATCCTGAATGTTTGCCATTTTTGGGTGGAGTAGTAAATCCTTCTCTATCTTGGCCCAGTAGATTATAGCAGTTCACATATATGAGCGTTTGTACTTTGAGTTTTTGTGTATTTGGGACAAATTTTATTTTCCTAAGAAAAAAAGGCAGTGGACTAATTGAGTTCTTACATGTCTTTCTTTGCAATTTCAGCTTTTACCGTTATGTTTTAGAACCAGAGATTTCTTTCACTGCAGACAACAGCTTTGCCAAGGGTCCAATAGCCAAATTCTTGGATATGCCTCAGTCTCCTCTGTTTACTCTGAATTTAAATACTCCTGAGAGTTGGATGGTGGAATCTGTCAGAACACCTTATGACCTTGATAATATTTATTTAGAAGAGGTAAGTATTTCATTGCTCCTAAATGTCTGCCATGCTTGTAAAAAATTGATTAAAATTTAATAGAATAATAAAAACAAGGAATAGCTTATTGAATAGATTAAGAATTTTAGAATATTCAAACCGAAAAGGGCCTAAGAAGGTTTATCTCAAAGGCTTCTATATATTCTAGCCATCTAAGGTAAATGGTTTTGAATATCTTAGATATCTCAGGATTGGAATTGTATTCTTTTTGATTCAGAAAGTATTTATTGAAACTTTTTCAATATGTCCAGTACTTTTTGGAGTACAAACAAATAAAAAGATAGTCTATTCAGCCAGAAGCAGCTATCTGCTGCAGCCGACAGCACTGGGCCTGGAGTCAGGAAGACCTGAGTTCAGATTTGGCCTCAGACACTTACTAGCTGTGTGATTCTAGGCAGTTTACTTAACCTCTATTTGCCTGTTTCCTCAACCGCAAAATAGGTATATTAATAGCACCTACCTCTCCGAGTTTTTGTGAAGATCAAATGATGTTTGTTGTTGTTCCTTGAGTCAGGAAGGTCTGACTTTATATCTAGCCTCAGACACTTACTAGCTGTGTGACTCTGGGCAAGTCACTTAACCCTATTTGCCTCAGTTCCTCATCTGTAAAATGAGCTGGAGAAGGAAATGGCAAGCCACTCCAGTATCTCTGCCAAGAAAACACCTTGGACAGAAGTCCATGGGGTCACATGGAGTCAGATGTGACTGAATGACTGAACCATAACAACAACAACAATATAGCATATTTCAGAGTAAGTGCTTAACAAATGCTTATTCTCATCCTCCCTCCCTTCATGTCTGCCTTCCTTCCTCACTTGCTCTCTCCCTTCTTTCGTTCCTCTTTTCCTCCCTCCTTTCGTTCCTCTTTTCCTCCCTCTTTTCCTCCTTCTTTTCCTCCTTCTTTTCATTCCTCTTCCCTCCCCAAGGAACTTAAGTCTAACTCTCTTATCAGTCCACTCTAGTACTGTATATAACCATCTTTATTGCCAGAATATTTGTGATTATGTATAACTTAATTATCTTTTACTGCAAATGAAATGTATTTCATTTATCCTCTTCAGAAATACATAATAGTAGACCAGTATCTACTTTCCAGTACTGGGGTTTACTGCTCAGTTTAGCTCATTAGGCTAGATAAACCTAGATTTTTTAATTTAAATTTTATTTATTAAGCATCTACTACGTATATACTACGTATACTCTGCTATATGTTATAAGGGATATTTTTAAAAACAGAAAACATGGTCCCTGTTTCCAGCAGAACTTGGAGTGGGCAGTCATTTTCCTAGGGTTTTAGTGCGTTTCAGTTTTCCACATATATTTATTTGTATATCCCCTGTTACTGTTGTAACCCCCTCACTAGAGTGTTAACTTTTTGAGGACTGAGACTATTTCCTGTGCCTTTGTATTACAAGTGACTCCAGCAGTTCCTTGTACACAGTAGGTACTTAATAAATGTTTGTAAGATTGAAGTTATTTTCTACCTTTTCAGTTTTCTTCTTTTTTGAACCTTCTCCATTTTTCTACTTCCTAATTAAAATTTGAAAACTCTGACTGTAGGTAGTATTTTATTCAGTGTAAACCTGATATCCTGAAGGAAGGCATAAGGTTTACTCAGCTCTTACACATCCTAAGTCAACACTATCTCTACAACTTAGAGTCTTAGAGAGTTGTCTCGAGCACTGAGAAGTCACACAACTAGGTGGGACTTCAACTCAAGTCTTCCTAGTTTTTATTTTTGTTTTTGTTTTTGTGAGGCATTCAGGGTTAAGTGACTTGTTCAGGGTCACACAGCTAGTGAGTGTCTTTCTGGTTTTGAGGACAACTCTACCCACTATTCCTTGGTGTCTCTCACATCATACATCACCCATTATACTCTGGTTAATAAATGCTAGTATTAGATTAGAATTTTAAGCTGTAATGCTGAGTTGTTGACATTGGGCAAGGTCACAAAGCAGGATGGTAATGCAGCTGGGATAAGAACCCTCATCACTTAAAGTTACAGAGTTTAGTTCCTTTCATGAGCAAAGCTACCGCTTGGTAATTATAGATCCTTGCATTTATAGAAAGTTTTCTCCAAGGAACACTCAGGCAGGTCCTTCCAGCAAGTTAGGCATTTGGTGAAGAGCATAAGTGACTTTAGGCCGCTATGGTGCTATTAAATACATTCAGGGCATTATCCTTTAGAACATTAATGATTTAAGTTATAACCAGAGAATTCCTGCGTTTCCCTAATTGCTTATTATCTTGTGTTCTTATGTAACTTAAATTCCCACAAATTCCATTACGATTCCCTTTGCCTCTCCTGCGTATCTGGTCATTCACTAAATTCTGTCAGCTCTTCACAATGTGTGTCTGCTGCATACGTCCTTTCCCCCCATGCTCATTCCCACTCTCCTAGTTCATCTCTTCATCACTGTAAACTTCGAGTATCGAAATAGCCTCCTACCTTTTCTCCTTATGCCTAGTTTCTTCCACTTCCATCCTGGCATGTTCCTGTGTTAATCAGTCTTAAATTATTGCCCTCATCAGTTCACAGACCTACACATCTTCAGTGGCTCTTCACTCTCCATAGAATCAACCTAAGCTGCTTCACTTAGAGTGTAAAACTCTCCACAGTGTGACCCTAATTGATCTTTCCTGTTCTGTCTCCCTTACATCCCTATGCCAACTTTCTGCTTCTGCCCAAGCGTCTGCTTACTGTCAACCTGCATTGAGCTTTCTCACATCCATCACTTTGCTAAAACTATTCTTTCTGCTATTCATTTTCTCCCTTTTCACTTGTTTAAATCCTGTCCATTCTTTAAGGCATAGTTTTAAATTCTGCTCTTTCTGTGAAACCTTCCTTGACTCCTTTAGCTAGAGCAAATTCCTCCTCCTCTGTACTTCCAGTAGTCATTTTGTGTACTACTCATTTAGTATTTATATTGACTCGTATTGTTATTTTTCTCTGTCTTCTTTCTGTAACTAGATTATAAACTTCTTGAGTGCAGAAACTATACCTTGTTTATTTTTTTAGTATCCTCTCATAGCAGTGACTAAGCAGTTTTTTGTACCTACGAGGTGTTCAATATTTGTTTACTCACTGCCAAATTTTGACAAACTGTCTCCTCAACCTTAACAACCTTTCTATGAATTAATTCAGAAACACAGAGGTATCATATAAAAAAGAAATCATAATTTGTGAGGGAAAAGGCAAATTTAGGAATGTTGAAATGATCTCTTTCTTTTTTTTTGACAGGTGGATAGCATAGTAGCTGCAGAGTATGAGCTTGAGTATCTCCTGCTGGAAGGACACTGCTATGACATCACAACTGGACAGCCTCCTCGGGGGCTGCAGTTTACACTGGGAACTTCAGCAAACCCAGTTATTGTTGATACCATAGTTATGGCCAATCTGGTAAGTAGTAAAGATCAGAATTTCTGAAATATGTGGCATGGTTAAAATTGATCATTAACACCAAATTTGCTTTATCAGTCATTAGAGCAGTTACAGATTTATTCAGGAAATTTGAATGTCACAGGAACTTTTAAAAACTGGATTATAAAAATTGTACTGTACCAGCTATGGGCTATAGTAATACTTTGGATTCTGAAGTTTCACAAATAACCTGTGGCAATTCAAAAAGATGAGTTCAAGGGACCCCTTAACAGCCCTTAACATCTGATGGCCATTTTCTTTTCTATGGCGGAACTTTGTTTATTTGTACATTTGCTACTTAGAGACACAGATGCCAGGATGATTGTGTGGTTGGAATGTGTGTTTTGCCAGGAGTTGCTTATATGTAGATTTTTGAGATTAACACTAATACATGTCAGTTTCTCTAATAAAGTGTAAGAAACTACTGTTTTTGATAGAGGTAAATATTCCCAAGAAATGGTATTTTGATGTTTCCAAGTGTACTGATAATTGATTTCTCTTCTTGTTTCAGGGCTACTTTCAATTAAAAGCCAATCCAGGAGCCTGGATTCTCAGACTCAGGAAGGGACGATCTGAAGATATTTACAGAATCTATAGGTAGGACCCATTGACCCATTTGCGTTTGCATAAGAAGGTAATTCTTATGAACATCTATTTGTAGTTAGTCTATCATTCACTGGCAAAAATAGCTGATTCATAGATATTATATATAACATTGCCTGTTAGGTTTAAATATTTTTCAGCAGAAAATTAAATATGCAAGTAGTCAAAGCACAATTGAGAGATGACATGTGATGTAGGCACAGTCAAGTTTCATTCCATACAGAGTCCTTTATGTTACCCCTATCCCATAATAAAATCACTGTACTTAAAGGATGAAAAATACTGGCAAGAGAAAATTGAGTAATTGGAGCTGAGAGAGAAAAGAAAAGAATATCGGTTAGATTTTTCAAACCATGCTTTGAAAAGCGTGTCTCTACAATATGCAATTTCAGATCACAGAGTAAATGAGATAAGACAGATACCCTTGACTTTTTCTCTTTTTAAAAAATTGAATTGATATATCCAGAAATGGAGGTTATGTTAAAACAAAAAATATCCCTTTTTTCTTCACTACTCAGAGAGCCATCTCTTGTAACAAAGAATTAAAGAAGAGAAGGGAAAAAAAAAAGAGCAGTTCAACGAAACTACCTACCATGTCAGTTGAGTCTTGGCAGTATATATAAAGTTCCACAGCCATAATCCCTCATCTCTTCAAAGAAAGGAAGGAGGTTCATTTTGTCATCCCTTCTTCAGGGCCAAGCTTGGTCAATATAATTATGTTACCCAGTTTTGCTTTTTTTCTTTCTGTTTACATTGTTATAGTCATTGTGCTTATTGTATTCCTGTTCCTGCTTACTTTACTTTGCCTAAGTTCATATAAGTTATTTCATGCTTCTCAGGATTCTTTAAGTCATAATATTTCTTATGCTATCATAACACTCCATTACATCCATGTACCACAGTTTGTTTAGCCATTCCCCCGTTAACAAGCTTCTACTTTGTTTCCAGTTCTCTGCTACTACAAAAAGTACTGCTGTAATTATTTTGGTGTATATTGGACCTTTCTTTCCATCTTGGACCTGTATGCCTAGCAGAAGAGTCTCTGAGCTTAACTGAATTGTAATTGGATGTATTAATCTTCATCTGATAAATATAGAGCTCCAAATAAGAAGTATTGGGCAACATTTAGGTGTTCATTTTAAAGTACATATGAGCTATAATTAAAGATAAATTCTAATACTTAAAAAAACTCAATGTTCAATACTATTGGTAGCTCAGATTTATATAATACTTTTCAGCTGAAACACTTTCCATATAATAACCTTGTGAAGAAAGTAGTAAATATTATCTCTGTGCTTTTTAGATGTGGAATTTGAGGTTCACAGAAACTAGGTGATCTTCCCAGTGTCACATACATAGCAGATTAAGGGCAAAGCTAGGCCTTAAACTTGAGTGTTCTGATTGAGAGTCTGGAGCTCTTATTATTATTTCTGTTCCTATTGTTGTTATTATTACTACTACTACTACTAATAGCTATTAGTTATGTAGTGCTTTCAGGTTTACAGAGTGCTTTATGAATAGTATCTCATTTTATCCTCATAACTCTGTGAAGAGGGTGCTATTATTATTCCCATTTTGCAGATGAGAATCTGAAGCTGACAGGTTAAGTTACTTGCCCAGGGTCATGCATCTTAGAAGGGTCTGGGGCAGGATTTGAACTCAGGGCTTCTTGACTCAAAGTCCAACAGTCTATCTACTGTACCTAATTGCTACCCACACCATGTCATGAAAAAGTACTTTATTCCTGGTTGATTGGGAAATAGTTTGTAATAGGCATTTTAGGAAAGAATATCTAAATGAGTATGATCACATAATCTACTTGAATATTTGAGAGGTCTTCAACAAGGTCTAATTTAAATTCTTATAGTTTCACTTGAGAGTGAAAGTAGCTTTTTTTTTTTAAACTTTAGAAATTGCTTTCCCCAGAAATTCTATAGTATTATTCAGTACTCATTTGAGAGGTGCTGCCATAAGGATATTTCCTAAATAGAAAATAGTATTTGGGACTTGCAGTAAGGATATCTTTATTGTAAATCATTAGAAGGATACAATCATCCTGAAAACAGTATTTTATATTTACCTCATATTTTTTTAAATGTTCAGGACCAGACCTATATAAAAATTGTGAAAAAGGCTAAAGTTTACCTTCCGATTGTCTTTGCTATTTCCTTCTCTGCCTCTTTTTGCCTTTCTTATCCTCTACTCTCCAGGAAAACTGGAGCTTTCATTCTCTCCCTCATTTGTCCAGGTTTGACCCTACCTAGTGACCTAGTCACAGTGTCTCCTGCTTCAGAACCTCAGTTACCCATAGGAACTTCTCCTGCACTGTGAGCACCATTTCCTGGGGTCTGTCTGTGTGCTAGATAATAGCAAATATACTGAACTCTTGCTTGGTCTTGTGTTGATGGCATCCTTTTGGAAACTAGCTTAACCCAAGGAAAAGCTTTTATTGGTTGAATTTTTGGGTACTGAGACAAAATAATGAGGAAAGTAACTTGGAACACGTGGAACCTAATCTAAGCCCTATCCCACCTTCCCCAGGGAACCCATACAACAGACCCTATTTTGTTTCCTATTATGTAGTACAGCTATCACATTATTTCTTAGTTCCAGTCATAAGGTAGCTGTGTCATAGTCAAACAAGAGGATAGTTTGTATGTATTAACAAAAAATGTAACCCAGTTATGTAATTTACCAGTGACAGACTTAAGAAGTGAAATAAGCTTAATCAAATATGACAAGTTTGTTTAATGTATTTGAATCCATATTAGATTCTTTGGACTCAGTGTCTCTTGTCAGGTTGCAATAATACAGCATATGTTACTGTACTTAGTAATATAACAACTGTGCTTGTATTGTACTGAAAGTTGCTTCCTTTAGAGCCCATAGAAGAAATAAGACCTTAGAGATTAAATAAGTCAAATCAGAAAGTATTCATTAAGCTCCTGTTATGTGCCAGACAGGGTAGCTGGGTGGCCTAGTGGCCTCAGGTCAGGAAAACTCATCGTCCTGAATTCAAATCCAGCCTCAAACACTTATTAGCTATGTGACCCTGGACAAGTCACTTCATCCTGTTTGCCTCAGTTTCTTCACCTGTAAAATGAATTGGGGAAGGAAATGGTAAACCACTCCAGAATCTTTGCCAAGGAAACCCCAAATGGGGTCACGAAGAGTCAGACATGACTGAAAAATGACTGAACAACAACAATCAATGTGCCAGACACTGCTGAAGTGCTAGGAATGGAAAGAAAGACAAAAGACAACCCCTGTCCTGAAGGAAATAATAGTCTAGTGGGGGCAGACAACATGCAGACAGCTATGTCCAGACAAGTTATATACAAGATAAATTGGGAATAATCTAGAGAGAGAAGACACTAGCATTAAGGGGATTTGTAAAAGGCTTCCTTTAGAAGGTGGGATTTTTTTATGGGACTGGAAGGATGCCCAGGAGGCGGAGATGGGGAGGGGAGAACACACAGACACTAAAACAGTGGAAGATCCTTGACACTTTCCCAGTACTTTTGTGTTCTAAGAGCATTTCCATATTTAATAACTTTTTTTTTTAAAGCCACGATGGTACAGACTCTCCCCCTGATGCTGATGAAGTTGTGGTTGTTCTCAACAACTTTAAGAGCAAAATTATCAAAGTCAAGGTGAGTTTGAAGAACTGGGAATAGCCATTCTCCTGTAAGCTCTCAGAGGCAGGTACAGGGTTATGTCTGATGTGTGATAAGAACAGCTGAGGATTTGCCTACATCTTGTAATCAGACACTTGTAAGTTAATCACAGAGATACTATAGACAGCATTCTTTTGCTGGAACTAAGAGACATTCATTGTTAGTTTTGTACTTAATTCAGTCCAGATCTCACCCAAGACAAACCACTTCATTCAGCCATACCTTAGTTTCCCATTTTTGGCGATTTAAAAAGTCTTTGAATATCTTGTAGAAAAGGAGGTGAACTGGTTCATGTAGTGATGCTGAGGAATAACAAGCAGATGGCCCATGGTATGTACTGCTGCTCATGAGATAATGGAAGACCTAGTAGAAGACTGTTAGCCTTTTGAGTAGGGCCTTAATGGAGAATTTATAGGAGGTCGTTGACGAGAATCACATAGAATGAGAAGTTGTGGATAGATTGCAATGTAGGCTGATAGAAGAAGTAGCCACATCAATAAGATCATGATGGAGCCATCAAGATAGTGAAGTCTTTGCCTTATTGCAATTTATTGAGGGGTTTTCACTTCAGGTTTAAGTGTATTAAATTAACTACATGAATGTCACTGTGCAAATTCATAGAAATGAAAGGCAGCTAGGTGGTCTAGTGGGCAGAGTGTTGGACCTTGAACCAGGAACACCTGAATTCATATCCCGTCTCAGACACTTGTTAGCTGTGTGACCCTGAGCAAGTCACCTAGCCTTTCTAAGCCTCAGTTTCCAATGGTAACAACACCTACCTTACAGGGTTGTTGCGAAGATCAGATAAGATAATAAAGATAAAAAAATTTGCAAACCTTTTAAAGCATTAAATACATGCTAGCTATTATTATTGTTATTTTTATTTATTGTTTTTATTTTTACTATTATTTTAGAACTTTAGTGCTGAAAAAGAACCTAGAAATTATGTAATTTCATCCCCTTATTTTATAAATGAAGAAACTAAGACCAAGAGAGTTGAAATGATTTGCTTGAGTAGTACAGCTGATTAATAACATGATGTGGTACTTTGGGAGGCTTCACTGAGCTATAATTGCTCAGAGCTATATTTTTTAACAATTAACCTTTTAATTTTACTTTTTAAAAAATCATTTTTAGGAATAACAATAATAATAGCTAACATTTGTATAGTGCTTTAAGGTTTGTGAAGCACTTTATAAATATTCTCCCAGTTTATCCTCACAATCACCCCAGGGACAAAGGTGCTATTATTATCCCCGTTTTACAGATAAGGAAACTGAGGCTGAGATTACATGACTTGCCCAGGACCACACAGTTAACTAAGTGTCTGAAGTCAGATCTGAATTCAGGATTTCCTGACTCCGAGTCCAGCACTCTACCCACTACAACAGCTAGCTGCCTGTATTACACTAACAACAATAACAACAGCTAGCATTTATATGGAATTTTAAGGTTTGCAAAGCACTTTGCATGTGTTATCTCAATTGATTCTCACAAGGTAAATGCCCTCTTTGTTTTTATTCCCTCCTAAAAATCATTATTTATTTAATGGTCTTTTTTTTTTAAATTTTGAGCTCTAAATTTTCACCCTCCCTGTCCTCCCCCCTTTCCCCAATTGAGAGCCCATAGCTATTTTAATTGGCAACTTTTTTTTTTTGACTCATAGGTAGTAGCCAGTGCTTTATAATGCACTCTTTATTTCACATAAATAGAAGACATTCCAGGGAAAAAATGTCAGTTTTTTGCTTTATAGACATGTTAAGTAATTTTGATAATGTGGTCATATTTACAGGTTCAGAAGAAGGCAGACATGATGAATGAAGATTTACTAAGTGATGGAAATCATGAGAATGAGTCTGGATTTTGGGAGTCACTTAAGTGGTAAATTTTTCCCTTCTTTTTTCCACTTTTTTGGGGGGTTTTCTTCAAGTACACTAAACTACTATTAATTAGAGAGCTTTTCAGATTCTTTGTCTGTTCTTAAATTTTAGGGCATAGGTAGGGTAACTTAATGTTTTCCTACTCGATTAGATTCTTTTTCCATAAGATTATTTGAGACATATGGTACCACATAGAGAACTCCCTCTTTCCTGACTCTGCTACTGTTGAAAGATTTCTGCCTTCTAGGGGATTATCCGCTTGAATATCTTTTCCATTCTGAAACCTGCCAGCCAGAAGCAAGTTGAATAGGAAAGCAGGTTCAATGGCATTATATCTTTATCATTTCTCTTGGGTATTGCATATCTACACCAGCAACTTAATTGTTCTGTTGCTTCTCCATTTTTGTACTTTAGGGGCTTTACTGGGGGTCAGAAGACCGAAGAAGTGAAACCAGATAAAGATGATGTAATTAATATTTTCTCAGTAGCATCTGGACATCTGTATGAAAGATTTCTCCGGTTAGTCTTTTCAGATTTTTGTGTGTACATGTGCATGTGTGTAGATTTATCATAGTACTCTTTTGAGAATATTGAAGAAGGAATTCAGGAAATAGTCTCTGAGGTTCTTTATGATGCTGGTATTTTATGTTTCTGTAAAGTAAAACACTAGACAGTTTGTGCACATAAAAGTTTATCTGGAATACATACAAGGCAAATCCAAGGTAAGTTTTTAACATGCTCTAGTGACCAGGGAGATAGGAAATGTCTCGTGTAAGAGGTCTCTGATCTGAGCTTTGAAGGGTATTAGGTACTCTTAAAAGGTGGAAGTGAGGACTAAATATGAGCCCATTTAGTAGACTACTTAGAGTGATTCATGGTGGAGCCTTTTTCCACCAATTCAGTTGCCAACTCTTTAATGGATCATGATAAACATTGTGATATAGGAAAAAGAATGTTGAATTTGAGGTCAGAACACCTAAATTCATAACTAGATTAAGCCTCTTAATAGTTTTATAATCAGTTCACAGCACTTGTCTGGGCCTCAGTTTCTCTTTAAAATGAGGAGGATGGGAAGGGGTGATTATGATGCAGTAGATAGAGGATAAGGCTTGGAGCCTCCCCAGACTGAGAGACTTGATTCTCATCTCTGAAAAAAAGGGAAAAGACAAGAAAAATGAATCAACTTATTAATAAGAATTAAGTAGACTTTGGAATGACAAAAATTTTTAAGGTAGTGTTAAGATGAGGAGATGGGAGTAGATGATCTATAACATTTCCCAATTCTAAATATCCATTGATGCATGATTTTATTTGTTTGGAATTGCTTTAAGTAAGGGAGAGTGTAAATATATAGTTGTATACATATTATTACTACATCAACACAATATATCTGCTTACCAAGTATAGGCTAAAAATAGGAATTGGTAGGTGAAAGTAGAGGCCTGGGACATGTTACACATGTTACTTTCTTATCTTACATAGACGAAATTGTGTGAAGCATTGGGTATAGGGAGTGGGGAAAAGCAACCTAGTCATAGTCAGAACTTGGGAGAATGGTTGACCTCTCTCTGTGTGCCTGTTATTTAAGATATTAAATTAAATTATTAATTAATTAATTGATCAAAACACATAAACCTTGGAAAATGAGATTATGCCACCAGTCATTCTTAATTTTAACTTAATTCATGCTCCAAATTTTCCTAGCACTTCAAATGATCAAAATGTTATTGGAAGCATCTTTTAAGCTCTCCTTTCTTTAACAAAAACATAATAGCACATATAATACTTCGACTAGACTTCTCCTCTGAGGTCATATTGCTTCATGAAGGTAACCATGGGTTCTTGAAGATGTGATATTAAATGCAAGCTCTGATAGGTGCTGTCAAATGGAAAGATTTTTGAACGGGACTGGCAATAGACTGTTGTGCCAGGATTAGTTTAACCAGGTTGATAGACACTTCTTACTGGATTGGCCCCAGAGTGATGAATTTTTCACCCTTAGAAAGTCTTAATTATCTACAGATTTCATTCTGCTTTGGTGGAGGGAGTATGAATGCCAGGTTAGTTACAGATCATTGAAGTATTGAAGATGCTATGGCTCATGAGTTGCTCATAATTTATATAGTGCTTACCATAGAGCAAGTTCCTCACAACACCCCCGTAAGATGGGTGATGCATTATCCTCATTTTATGAATGAATAAACAAGTTTAGAGTAAAGAAGTTGACTTGCTCCAGGCCACACAGATTGTAACTGTCACAGATTGGACCAGAACTCAGGCCATTCACCTCGATCGAGGTTTAGTATTCTTTGGGTATTTTTTCAGTTTGTGCCGAAAAGAATACTCTCCAGTGCTACTCATTAATTTTTGGCATTCAGAAAAGCTAAATTTCATAGAAGAACCTCAGAATTTTTTAAAATTGGAAGAGACATTATAGATCAGTTTACAGAAGAAGAAACTGAAGCCAGAGAAGTGAATTGAATTGGACAATTAAAAAAAAATCTCTTTGTGGAGGTTTGTGAGCTGACTTTCTTTAAACATCTCATGGGATTTTATTGGAGGTTGAAATGATGTAAAGCCATGTGGGAAAGCTCTTCATTGATGCAAATGAGGGGGAGGTTTGGCTCCTTTCCAATCTTCTTTACATGCAGACTTTTGGAGAAGGGTGTGGTGGTTGCCTCTTGTTTGAGTCCTCCCTAAAAGCTGCGGTGGCTTCCTCCTTTTATCTGGTGGAGGCTGGTTGCTGTGATAATTGCTAATTTGGCACTGAGACTGATGTTTGTATTGTGTTGTGCATCTTTTTCTCCTACTTGAATAAAACAAGTATTTTTAAAGTATTCCATAATTCAAACAGACTTGCAGAGGTTTTTTTAGTGGAATAAATGGTTATCCACTTGATTGGGTGGTGGTTTTTATTTGATTTAGTGTAGCATAAGATTAATTTTCAGTCTGATGTTATTTAATAGGGGGATTAAGAGGCTTTCTGGGTTAAATAGTCTTCTTTTGCTTAACTGAGCTGTCAAATAATCACCTAGTACAAAGTCTAGTGGTCTGTTTTAGATAATGGTAGTTGATAGTATTGATGTCAAAAGCAATATAAAGTGTTTTTTGTTGTTGGGTTTTTTGTGTTTTTTTTTGCTTTTGTTTGACAGTATAATGATGCTCTCAGTTCTGAAAAATACTAAGACGCCTGTGAAATTCTGGTTCTTGAAGAATTACTTGTCACCCACATTCAAGGTTTGTTCATCAATGAAAGGCTAAATGTTATTGTAACAGGGACACCTCTAAACCTTCAAGGGCTGTTTTACCTACTTTTTGCTTTCTCTACCTGCTTTCAATGTGTTTTTATTTTTTTTTGGAGGGGGGGAGTTTTGGCCAGTGAATTATGTTTATTTATTTATCTTTAATTTTGACTTTTTGTCATTCTGTTGGAACCCCTGTCAAAGGAGCATTTCCATATACAAAAAAAGCAGAAAAAGAGAATGCATATGAAACCACCAATCTCCATTATGTTCAGCTTATTTTCGTTTGTAACATAATAAATTCGACTTATCTGTTTTTAAGATATCCTGCTTGTCTGTGTCTTGCTCTGAATCTCCATCTGTTCTCTTCTATACATCATTTTTAGGGAGCATCATTATTAATAGTCTTCCTCCCTCACAATTCTCTAAGCTACACCCTCCTCTTCTCAATATTAAAATCCTTATTAGTCCCTTCTTGGTAACAGATGAGCAAAACAAATACACGCATTTTCCATGTCTGAAAATGTGTATCTGCATTTCTGTTGTATCATTCTTATGTCAGGAGGTGGAAAGCATACTTACTTATCCGACCTCTGTAATTGTGCCAGTGAATTTTAAATTGTTTTCAGTTTCCTGATTCTAACCTTCATAGCTATTTACTGCCACATCAAAAATTATGTGGAATGCTGCATAATTCTCTCTTGGCCAGACTTGGATCTAGGGTAAACTTGACATTTATCAAAACCATTCAAATAACAGTTTTCCTGAAGTATAACATTTCCCAGTGTGGAATGTCTTAAGTCTAAATTATAATCAATCATATAACTCTTCTAAAAAAATAAGCAATTTAAATTTAATTTGCATTAATTTACTAAGCTGGCAAAGCTTTAAATATAAGCCTTGTAATAGATTGTGTCTGCTTTCTGAGAACTGACTAGGTAAATTTAAAGAGACTTACCACCCAGGTTAGCCTCAAGGTGATGAATTTTTTAGTTTAGAGACTATAAAGGTGGCCTACTATAAAAGACTTGTAATCTGTGTTACTTGAGGAAGTACCCGTAGTGGGGTTAAAAAAAGGTACAGCCTTAAAGTATTAAAGGAATTTATGAAAAAGGCTTCAGAATTGTTAGATATTTCCATAATTTCAAATTACGACCAAAATTGGTTTGCCTGAAACAAGTTTAAGGGATTAAGGTGGGGAGTATTTTTGAAGACAGTTCTCTTGGTTAAATGTGTTTTTACCCATGTGATAGTCATACACTTGCTTGATTCTAAAAAAATGACTTAATATGTTTCCTTTATTTATAAAAGGAATTTATCCCATACATGGCAAAGGAATACAATTTCCAGTATGAGCTTGTTCAGTATAAATGGCCCCGGTGGCTTCATCAGCAGACAGAAAAGCAGCGCATCATTTGGGGCTACAAGATTCTCTTTCTGGATGTACTTTTCCCACTAGTTGTTGACAAATTCCTGTTTGTCGATGCTGATCAGGTAAGCTTTTGAGGCCCCAGCTTTGATAAATTGAAAGAAATAAGAGTTTTAGGGTGTTTACCTCCATCTTCTGATTATCTATCCTAGTCTGATGATCTACCCTAGTGAAGGAGAGGTTTTGTGTGGGTAATGAAAACCTAACCTAACCCAGCTGGGTTGCTGAGCACTGATAAATGATGCAGATAATCTATAGAGAATGAGGATTTTTCTGGATAGCAATTAAAGGGTACACACCAAAGAGAATTTAGACAAGGAAAACAAATGTGCTATTATTTACCAACCCCTCCCTTAGCCTAACACCCCACCCCACCCCACCCCCCTGCCTTTCTCATACAACATGAGGAGGTGGGGCTTTTGACAAATAATGTATCTGATATTATTACAGTATTTGCTAATAAAATAATGAAACTAAAATGAAAGAAAGTAGTTATATTAAGGAAAGCTGAATTTTGAATAGTGAGTGATTTGAGTTCCCCAGAATGGTTAATGTATGATTAATATACTTTTTTTCAGTCAAATTATTTTTAAAATTGTGAATAAAATGCATGCATTATCATCTTCTTGAGTCATATTAAATCTCTTTTTGGTGCAGCCCAGTACAGAAAATTTAAAAAAATTTTCTGTATCCTCTGAATACTTTCACCAGTCTACATTAACCAGTGGAGCTTTTCATTCTCATTCATCCTCTATATGGCTTCCCTCTCCCCCCTCCCTCCTTTTGCTAATGTAGTTTCTGTTCGGTTTGAGTTAGATAGATAAGTACTGATTAAGAAGGAGAGGCCAGAGCTGTGTAAAAAGGAGATAAAAGAAACTTGGTTAGTATGTATTGAAAACCCACTGTAGATCTTGAAACAAAAGATGGAGCCCTTACCCTCTAGAACTTATAGTCTGCTTGCGGCCACAGCATATTCCAGGCATTCTTAAAGTTTTTTACCCCTTCCAGAATGTTTTTAAAGAAATAAAATAACATAAATATGATCACAAAAGAAACCAATTATATTAAAATACATTTATGGAAAGATTGAAAACAATTTCATGGACCCCATATTCAGAACTCTTGGCATATACAAATGAAAAGGCTTCAAAACAACTTACATATTAACATGAGGCAGTTCTTTTTATTCTGATCAGAGATATTTTACAGGCTTGAAAGTTGCAAAATTTCATTCACTTTCAGTTATTGTATAATGCTGATGTTTTAGTAATTCAAACTTCCTTTTCCCTCAGTTAGAATTGGTGGTGGGGTCTAACTCTTATTGGAATTCACATGGTAAAGTGAATGGCTTCTTGTAAAATGTATGCCTTATTACAACGTTTATTACAACACATTACAACAAGTGAACCAGAGGTTCATTTCCTTCATTTTTTCTTCCTAAAACTTTTACCATGGAGTGGTTTTTAACTGTTTGTGGTTCATGCAAATATTGATTGTTTGTGCTTCACAAAAATACTCACTTGTTAGATATCTGTACCAGCTTTATATGTGTGTTTTTAGATGTGATTTTTGGCTTCCTTTTTTTTTAAGATTGTTCGCACAGATCTGAAGGAATTAAGAGATTTTAATTTGGATGGTGCACCTTATGGTTATACTCCATTTTGTGACAGCCGTAAAGAAATGAATGGGTACAGGTTCTGGAAGTCAGGCTACTGGGCCAGTCATTTATCTGGACGAAAATACCATATCAGGTACTGAGAAAGTGATTGTGTATTTTTAAATCACCATTGCAACTGCTAGTATACTAATTCTTCTTTAAAAAGAGTGACTAAGAAAAATTTTTTATTTTTTGGGAGATGTGTAGGAAGAGAAATATTGCTGTAGGAAGATGAAACCAATATCCTTCCATTTTGTCCCTGGATAAGAGAAATTACTGTATTACTTTCTGTTTTGGTTCTTAATTGGCAGTGTTGTGACAGCTGTGCAATCAGCAAGATGCTTTTTGATCATTGACCAGCGGTTATGTTGCAGTTAACTACAATAGTTATTATCTAAATTGCTAATACTTGCTAGAAATCTTTGGTCAGAACATGTTTTGTTGTCTTTTGACAACAATGATGATAAGCAACAATGGTGACAGTGAGAACTAATAATGACAAAATGTTTTTTATTTTTGGAATTATTTTTATTTTATGGAATAATAACTTCCCTTTTGGAAATAATAAATACTTGTGACCTCTAGCTTCCCCATGAGAATTTAGCTTAGGTGAGATTATCTTTGCTCTCCAAAAGCAAAGTCCAAATGTTTGGCCACTAAGCCATTTATTTATTAAATGTGGTGAATTGGTGCTTTTGACATATTCCATGGCTTTTAACAGCTGCGTCTTCTGTACTTAGTGCACTCTATGTTGTGGATCTGAAGAAGTTTAGGAAGATAGCTGCTGGAGACAGACTCCGGGGACAGTACCAAGGTCTGAGTCAGGATCCTAATAGCCTTTCAAATCTTGATCAGGTAAATAGTCTTTTCCATGGTTTAATATATTCTGTCATAACTGTGTACTTGGTCTTACGGTGTTGAGTCAAGGCTAAAATATTCCTTTTCCTCCCTTCAGTGTTTTCAAGTTTTACTACAGTTCTTGTTGAGGCACGTTATATTTTTCCTTTATAAAAACTTCCTGAGTTGTCTTTAAGTAAGAGCTTAGTGAGAGTAGGAGAGAGCCGGGGAGACTGAAAACAGAGTTGCTTTAGTCACAGGGCTATCCCTGACAGTTTTTCCTTGGTGTCCTTAATTTATTCTTTTGCTCCTCCTCAGATACAGTGAGAGTGAGTCATTTGAGATTGTGGGGCAGAGAGGAATGTTGGCTTTGTGATCACCTGCTTGTTTAGTTCACCAGAAAAAAATTTTTTTTTTGGTACATGGTCTACTGAAAAGGTTTATAAATATGGTCCATCACCAATTTAAATGACTTTGCATGTCACTTTTTATCTACATCATAATAATATAGGATTTTTTATTTAACTAATATCAAATTCCTTTAGGGGTCGCCTTGCTAACCTCAACATAATTTTCCTATTTTGTACTTTATAATGGAATGTGATTTCAGTTGACTAGCTTCAAATGTCTCGTCAGGCTATATTTTGAATGTGTTGTAGTCATATCCCAAACCTCATGTGATTACTTAGTAGATACATGGTACATGAACAATAACTTCCAGTCATTTCTCTCTGTAAAATAATTCCTGAGAATAAAAGTTTACTGAGGTGAACTCTTAAAATAGCTCTGAAAGCTAATATGGTATAATGTAAAGAGAGTAGACTGGGATTCCAGAGAGACTTTGCTTTTAAGATTGACTCCTATGTACTTAATAGTTGTGTGGCCTTGGGCCTACCATTTAACTTTTCTCAACTTCAGTTTCCTAATTTGTAAGCCTGGAATAAGAGTACTCATATTATTTTCCTCTCACTGTTGTTAGGAAAGCTGTTTGTAAATCTTAGAAGTGTTATTTGTTGGTTTTTTTTTTTTTACTACTACTACTACTACTACTACTACTACTACTACTATCTTTAGGGAAAGACATAGCAGTAGAATATATACATCTTTATGGGTATGGGGTACAGTTTTGTGTGGTAGCAAGAAAACTAGACAAACACTTGTAAGTCTCCTTTTTAAAAAACAACAAAAAACCATGAATTCTACTTTTGGATAAGGAACAAAATTATAGGTATCAGAAAAACTTCTACATATCTTATAAGTTGACAAATTAAAAGGAAAAATTCTGCAGAGAAGATACTATGGTTTGTGTGTGCTAAACTTTAGGTTTCTACTTGTTTAGTGTTAACAGATATTTTGTGGAATTTCTATCCCAAGGGTTGGTGGGGCTTTTTTTTTTTAATAGTATAAGTCTCTTTTGGTGATTTAGGTTTGACCAATCTAAAGGTGGGATTACTCACTGAACAAAGTTACCTTCAACTGTGGTATAATGAAAGAAGTATTAGATTTAGTGCACTCAATCTGGGCTCTAAGCATACCAGCTCAGCCACTAACCCTGTGACCTTGGACAATTCATTTATCTTGATCCTAAATTTCATCTTCAGTGAGGGAGTTAGACTAGATGATCTTTAAGAGCCTTCATCCCCAATCTTAAGAATCTACAATTGGGTGATCATTTAAAACTTTAATTACAGGTAACATTATTGCTGTTTACTTGTCTAGAAGTTTTTAAGTTTTTCCTCCATGAGTAGTTTAGATGCTGTTGTTTAAATTTTATTTTGTTCACCAAACAGGATTTACCCAATAACATGATACACCAGGTGCCAATTAAGTCACTCCCACAAGAATGGCTTTGGTGTGAAACATGGTGTGATGATGCCTCCAAGAAAAAAGCAAAAACAATTGATTTGGTAAGCTTATAGCTGATATGATGACTGCATTTTAATTTTATGTTGTATAAGACTAAATAATTTTAGTACAAATTTGTTTATTTTTGGTCAATTTTTTTCCCCAGTTTCATAACTTATATCAATATAGATCATTATGGAGAAGGCTGTCTTGCTATAATTATAACTGTTCTCCTTGCAAATTAGAAATGATAGGAGCCATGGTTACCCATTATGATTATTGTAATTGATTGATTACTGAAGGGAGAAACCTGTTGTAACTGAGCTATCTTTAGTGTGTGAACCAAGTGGCTGTCCATTCTTCACAGAAAAAAGAACTCAACTTGGATTCCTGACCCTTCACCATATTATCTCTACTTGTATTAATTTTGTTATCTTTCTGCATTCCATAGCCTCATTCTTTTTGTCTAGTTCTTCGTAACCCTGTTACTCCCACAGTTTTAAGTTCTGTATTTGGTAACTTTAAGACCAAACAGAGCTACTTTTTAGATTGTAACTTACATATATTTTGAGCCTTTCAGCTAGATGTTATATTCCCTTCTTTTTAATACCAATCTCCATCATTCACAGTGTAATAATCCAATGACCAAAGAACCAAAGCTGCAGGCAGCTGTCCGGATTGTCCCAGAGTGGCAAGACTATGACCTCGAAATCAAACAGTTACAGGGTCGTTTCCAGAAAGAAAAGGAAATGGGAATCAAGCATCCAGAGAATGAGACAAAAGAACCAAGCATAGAAGGTAATCTTAAATTGTTAATGTTAGACAAGAATCTATTAAAAGTGATTAGTGTTTGGGCTTCTTTTTACGTATTTAGAACATTGGCAACAGAGGTTAGAGATAATGAAAATTTCCCTCCCATCTGCAATAATTATATGTGAATAAAAGAAGAGCTATATAAATACATGGTGAAGTTAGAATTTTTGTTGCTATTTTTGATTCTTTGGTTTAATGATGCATTTACCTAATCTAAAATTTGCTCTAAGAGCACCTGCTTTACCTTTTTGTTTTCCCAAAGACAGTAATGAATGGATTTAAGTAGAATTCTGCAAATTAATGTAAAATTGCCCTAAACAGTGTTCTTTGAAAATGTGTGTATTCATACATGTAATTCAATTCAACAAACATTTATTAAGCACCTACTATGTACCATGTACCAGTGCTACACTCTGGGGATACAAATAAGAAAAAGAAAGACTGTGCCCTCAAGGAGTTTACAATCTAGCAGAGGAAGACAGCGCACTAAAGGAAGCTGGAAACCTGAGGGGGCCATAATGATGGTGGGGTTGAATCCAGGTAGTGCAGTTGATAGGAAATGATTGGGCTGATGGCCCCCTTTAAAGGGAGGCTTTGGGAGGAGTCTGTTTCCCCACCCTCCAACTCTCTTATCAGAGGGGAAGAGATACTGAGGCCACTGTGAGTGCCAAGGCTGAGGCCATCTCTAGGATGATGAGTTTCTTGGTGATGAGCTTTTCCCAGGACCATAAAGATGGTGGATTGGAATCCAAGGAGTAAATACTGTAAACAGCCAAAACATAGCCCTTGTATTTTGTCTTACTGTGTGGAACCTTTTTTCATTTAAGAAAGTTTTGTGTATAAACACAAAAATTAAAATTGTTGATTAGTTGAGCTAAAGAATTGGGACCCTTCTTTTAAAGATTTAAATAACAAGCAAGAACAAGAAATTGTAAGCTGTAGCTTTTTGGGGGGAATTTCCCTAATATATCAGAATTTATTATGCTGTTTGAGGAAGCTGCCAGATCTTTGTAATTATAACTTTAAACTATCTACTTCATTTTAATTTTTTTCTCCTTTTCCACAGGGCTTCCAGCACATGTAGAATTATGATCCTTGAAGGAAAAAATGAAGTGATACTGTTTGAAAGACAATTTTTATATTAAATACTAGGTTTTTTTTCTGGTATGTCTACACAACTGCTGATAAATTGGATAGGAGGATGTTTCCAAGCCTTTTAAATCCTGGAATTGTGGGATGCTGTATCCAAATGAATTATTCGGCTTCAGATCATTGGAATTAAGATTATTCTGGTTTATACTGCAGGATAGCTGACTGTAGATTCTAGAGTTTTGGAGAATGAATCTTCTGGGGGTTTCTTCCAGAAGCAGTTCTGTAATCACAGAGGAATATAGCGGCAGACAAGCAGAACGTTGTTCTTTGGGACCCCACATCACCTCAGTCAGGAGCCCACCCATGATACCTAGTCACGGGGAGCAGGACATCCAAAGTGCACAAGTTCTTACCTCAGTGTTTGTTTGTTGCTGAAGCTAAGCTCTACAAGCTGTACTGTAGAGTAGAACTGTGCCCGAATGGATTTTATTTTATAAGAAAGAGAGGTATTCACATGATCTGTGTGGTTTGAGGTTTACAGAAAATTGTTCCCTGTTTCTGAATAGCAGATAGATTGTGTAATGGAGACCTAAGTCATGGTTCATCTGTTTCCTCAGGACTGGCTCAGTACAAAGACTAAATTCAGTTGGAAGCTACCCAGCATTTTTGGGGGGTGCTTTGGGGTTGTGGTGGGGTGGCATATACTTGCAAGTTGGTCACTCTCTCTTATGACCCAATAGTACCACAGTGTCTTTTTAAAAATAAAAAATGTCGTTGTCCCATCCCCCAACCCTGTAAACCTTTTGGTTCATTGTTTCATAAATTTAATTTTTGTAGCTTTTAATTTTGTTTTGAGGGGCAGGGGGAAAAATCAAATGTTATAGCTGATATATTTAACAAAAACCAAGGTACATGAAATCACCATAATCATATACCAGGTTATTACAGTAATAGGATTAAGAGGGAATTCTGAAGGCCTTTTGGGCCACCCTACTTCTCAGTAGGATTTTATTTAAATAGACCGAGTGATGATACCCATATTTTTGTCAAAGGTTCATTTCAGAATTTCAGTCAGTATCTATTACCCAAGAGCTTCGTTTTTTTTGTTATCATGTCTTTGCACATTACTTTGTGTTCGTTTTCATTTACTGTTTTGTTTTAATCTCTGCAAATGTTGCTTGAGAAGACAAAGATTTTGAGTCCACATAGCTACATTATCAATCCTAAAAGATGGCCAGTCAAGCAAATGCCTTCTGTGTCTTAATTTTTATACAGCCCTGAATCACTCTGCTTTTTTTTTCTCTCCTGAGACTGACCATAGACCTGTGTACAAATGCCACATGTGTGACGTGGGGTACCCAGCAAGGCAATGTTTAAGCTTCCTGGCCCTTTGTGGGAACCTCCCTGGGCCGTATGCAAACCTGACACTGTTGTGCATATTGCTTATTCCAAGAGAGGTGGGACCTATCAAATCTGCCATTAAAAGCACAGCAAATTATCATATTTTCATATTTTACCTGCTTGAAAGGGTTTTAAAAGTTTTTTTTCTAAAATGGAAAACTTGCCATCTCAAATCTGATGCTGATTTTCAGTCATGTATTCATTTGAAACCTTTCTAAAAAGTAAAAATCGTCTTTTATAGAAATTTGGGCTCATTACCTACCTTGTGCAGAAATAAAAATTAGGTTAAGGATTTGCACCATCAAAATGAATTTAGCAGTTACCATTCACTTCAAAATAACATTTTGGAGTGAGTGACTTGTCGTTATAGATTCTTTGTTTTGTTTGCATCATTCCTTCCTTTTACCCTTAAAAATGTAAAGGAACAGGAGAGAATTTGATGATTTGAACCCTAATTAAGCAAAACCCAGGTCCACAAGTTCTGTGCTGCAAGCAGTTGCTGCAACATAACCCCTTCCCCCAGAGCTTCTGGAGACTTAGTTGAAGGAATATGAACAGTAATGATTAAGCACTCTTACTCTGAACAAACAGAATTGGCTGTACTTCTTCAATTAAATTTTGTTTAGCCTTTAGAGGTTGCTACTCTGTAGGGGGAAAAATCATGTCCAAAAACTTATGTTCCAGGTCTCCTCAAAAATTTGCTATGGCAATAGGAGATAATTAAATAAACATGATACTAATTTTTTTAAACTTTTTTATGGTAATGATTTTTTTTTAAGAGAATCTACTCGTGAGGATTGTTTAAGGGTGCCAGGTTTCATCTTAGTGTCTTCAAGCCAAGTTTTCTTTTGACGTAACTGCTTCCTATAAGGAGATTGAAATACCAACTTTCATTTAGAACAAATGCATCCTTTATCACCTCTGTTGATAATCCATCTTGTTACAAAAAGATGGTTGAATAGTTTACCTAATATGCAAGAAGGTGCCTTGGAAATGATTTTGTTTTTCCCAACCAATCATTCTTTTGCTGGTTAGCACAGCTTAAATAATTAATACTCAACGCCTCAGAAAATGTAATTGTTACTTGAACAATTGGGTAAAGTTATCTTTGACTTTGCCACCACACACAAAAAAAAGGGTGTTGCAAAATGGTTAGGAAATAGATCATTTTAGAAATTGAGATTGATTGCACTGAATCTCATTCAAGTTAGGGAAATACTGTTTGGTGTGTTTTTTTTCTGACTAGTGATAGAAATGTGCAACAGCTGCTTTTGAAAAAAGGAGAAGCCAACATTTGTGTGGAATTGATTTATTATTTTTTGTATTGTTATACCACGTGTGGAAAATTTTCTTTCCAAAATAGTTCTGGAGAGAAATTATTTAGCTTACAACTATCTTATGTTCTATGAACAGTGATATTTATTTGACTGAGATCTGAAAACTCTGCATACAAGCCTATATGTGGGATAACTGTGGAGCGTATCATATTAGTGCATAATGTAGACTTAACTTCAAGCCACCTCCTTCCCCTTTCATCAAGAGTAAATAAGTTGGTTATCTGCAGTAATGGTAAAGTTTTGAAATGTGATAAAATAATACATTTTAAATCAAATCAACAAAGGTCGAATACTTTGTGCAAGGACCTATTTATCTGACATACAACCACACCCCATGGGAATGCAGAAATGTATGTATTAAATATTGCTGCCTTTTCTTAGCCTCTGGGCTAGATTACCCTTCATTATCTATACATCAACATGCTAAGGCAAAACAAAGGCAATAGTCCTAGTTTGAGAGGCAGCATGGTATGGTGGAGAGAGCACTGGATTTGGAGGCAGAAGACCTGGGTTCAGATCCCTCCCATGCTACTTTTGTGACTTCGAGCAAGTCACTTAACCTCTCTGTATTTGTTTCCTTATCAGTAGCTGGACTTGATTGATTTTGAACAACTTTTGCTTATAGAAGGACCAGGAGAGAGAGAGAGAGAGAGAGAGAGAGAGAGAGAGAGAGAGAGATATTATAGAGAGCCCCAAGTGGGAAAATGGCAGCAATCAGGGGCATGATTTTTCATAAACCTTTAAAATGCTATATACATATGAGTTGTCATTAGTATTATTGACGTACAAATGTAGTTCTGCAAGGAAGAGGGTTAAAATCCCCCAATTTAAACAGTGATGACAATTTGGTTTGAGGGTGGTGGTTGGCATATCCTAAATGATGCTACTGGTTATAACAGTGTGTTTGAAATGCCAGTTGTACACAGTCTGTTTACTGTTCTATCTCTGTACCTTAACATAGCTTTTTCGCCCACATCCATTTCAGTCTGAATGAAGTCTTTCAAGATTATTAAGCCTGAAAGAGTGGATTTAGGAACACTTGGTATGTTTTGTTTGGATGACATATTGGCAACATAGTAATTGGTGAAGTGTCAAATGGTTGCAAAAAACACTTGGTAGTCTTTTGGTAGAAGAATGGATGGTGAGGTTTTTTTCTGTCTGCTACCCCAGGACAAAGCCACACTTAAATATTGGTGTGATCGATTTGCATTTGAGTGACTTGTTTCTTAACGACCTAGATTTTGTGGAACTACTTTATAGGAAGTCTGAAATAACAGTTTATAAGCTATTTGATGAAAAAAGGCAGCCCAAACTACCCAAGTAGCTGATGATTTCTTTAGTCTGACCAGGATGATATTTTAAATTTCAATCTGTGCTTCCTAAAATGACATGTAGGGGGAAGATTCCTTGGCAGTGTTTGTAATGGCAGTATCTGGTACATGTTGAAGCAAATAGACCATATTCTGTCAAATATCATTCGGATTTCAAAACACTGTGCATCTTTTGGGATTCAGAATTCTTTTGGATTTCCTTTCTGTAGTTGATATAAAAGTATCACAGGTTTGGATAAAGAAAAGTTTAGGATTAATCTACATGGTGATAATGCTTGTAATTTCCATAAAACTAGGAAAGAATCAGTCTCTCAGGTTTTCATTACGTGTTTTTCTATTTGGATTGTGCCTTTTAATGGAAATCCCCCCTAGGAACCTAGACCCCCAAAATATTTTTCACTGTTTAAACTACCTATTATCAATAATGATTTTACAGACAAGAATATCTGAAGGGAATCCAATTGTACCCCAGTTATAGATAGAGTATTTGACCAGCTTGATCAGTATTTCATAGGAAAACTTGGTTGCTTCTTGGTTGCTTAGTTGTGTTATCACTGGGTATTTGGGGGGTGGTGGGGCTAGGCAGTGGGGTTAAGTGACTTGCCCAGGGTCACACAGCTAGTAAGTGTCAAGTGTCTGAGGCTGGATTTGAACTCGGGTCCTCATGACTCCAGGGCCGGTGCTCTATCCGCTGCACCACCTAGCTGCCCCTGGGCATTTTTTTTTTTAAAGCTTTGATTTGATTAACTTTGTGACCAACCTCAACAGCAAGGGTAGGAACAAATTAATTTGTAACATGAAGTTCACACCCCTATTCTACCTGTCATAAATAATAACACAAATTTTGCTATTTTAGAACATTCCAGATGGTTTTTTTTTTTTAACATTTACTAATTGGAAATCCAAGTTTAATTAATGCTTTGCCTTCTCACCATCTGAATTTCCTGAGATAAGGGTATGTATGATTCCCTCCAAAAAGAAAAATTAAGGGCAGATTGAACAAAATTCACTAGAAGTTGACAATTGAGAAGTCTTTGGAGGAAGCAAAAGATTCTCAAGAAGATTTACTTTCAGCTACTGGAATCTGTGGTAGTGAAGGGGCAAACAAGTACAAAGGAAAAAAGGGTGTTGGAATTTTAAAGAAACTATGTACTTTTTTAATCTTTATAAATATTCTATTTTACTGTAATTCTCTTAATTAATGCAATGCGGAGTTCAGGTGCTGACACTTGATTGGGAGCAAGCTTTGGCATTTTAAATGTCTGCAGAAGTCTGCAGCCAGAAGTGAATTGAAAATTAATTTCCTCATACTGTAATGCAAATGAGGCCTGCTCAACACAATAAACTGTTTCCTCCCTTCTTTAAAACTGCTGTCTACTCTTCCTGTCATTCACACTTTACATTTAAGAAGCACTTAGGACCACAGAATATTAGAACTGAAAGGAATTTCAAATCATCCTAGTTTTTTTTTTTTAAACATTTAACCTTTTTTTATTCAGATGAGGACATTGAGTCTCAGAGAGATTGATTGACTTGACAATGGTCCCACAACTAGTTAGTGGCAGAACAATGATCAGAACCCATGTCTCCTGACTCCCAAGTACCTTGTTTTTTTACTGTACCATGCACTTGAAGATGGAGATAATAACCAAATTCTTTACCTTTCCATTCACAGCTATCCTTCTGTTAGGAATACATTCCAGGTGTATTAGGGGAATAACTATATAACGGGTTTCTATCCCAGTGATGCTTTCTAGGATTTAGAAAGTGCCCAAGTCGTATTCTTAAAAATAATACTAATCTGCAAATTTATTTTCACCTTATTTAGTTTCTGAAAACCCAGCAATCTTCCCAATCGTCTAGTCTATCCATTGTCTCCTTGCCCCTGCACCTCTCATCCCAATGAGGTATGACCACATATGATCTGATGTACTGGGAATTAGATGACTCCTGAAATCTCTTCCATTTTTGAAATCCTATGACTCTGTTACCTTGATTATGTCAAGCTATCCCCACCACCCTGGAAATAAATCTTGTTGGGTTCTGCCTCTACAGGTCTGTTTATGGATCCCTTTCTGCCTAAGAATACCAAATATCATAGCTTCATTCAGAGCTTCAAGAAACTACCATACTTTATAGCCAAATTCAATTAGCAAATAGAAGGCACATAATAAATGCTTATGGGTTCCATTTCTGACAAATCAAAATCTGAGTTGAAAGATGTCAGAGGTTTTTGAATGACCCAAGCCTCTGTGTCCAAGGAGTTTGGAGAAAATTACTCAAAAACTTTCACTACTTACAGAGTTAAATAGCCTTAATAATCAAGAGATAGTTGCTTGTTTTCGAATTAGTCATTTTATTATTCCTTAATCCCATTTCTCTTTAGAATATAGAGCATAAGCCCTTTAGTAACACAGTATTCTGTTTAGTCCCTGAGACATAGGTATATATCATGAAACAGTGATCTGTAGACAAAGAACCTTCCTAGCCCACAGTCTCACTAGGGCTAACTTTATGTGTAGCTGTTGGAACAGGCATAGCCCAGATTCCTAATTTTGCTACTACAGCCCAGAGAGGAAAAGTAACTTGCCTAAGATTACACAAAGAATTAATCGTTGAGCTAGGATTAAAATTCAAATCTCCTGATTCTCTTATCAGTGGATTTTCCACTCCCCTACTATTGCCAGAGAGTTGCCCACTGTTTTCCACTACCCTCTGTTGCCAAAGAGCTAGCATCCTTTCTCAAAGAGAGTAGTTTAATGCCTTTCCAATAATCAGACAGTGAAATGGTCATAGTAGTTGGCTGTTGAGGTACAAAGCTGCTGGTAGATCACCCCTGACCTGAGAGAAAAATAAATGATGCACATGTAGGCACACTGGGATCTATGATTCTAGGTGGAGAGTAAAAAGGAAGATATTAGCTTTAGCAAGAAGAGAAAAAAAAAGAAATTGAAGGTATTAGAATAGGCCAAGAAGAAACAAAGCTATCACTCTGCAGATGATATGATGATAAACTTAGAAAAACCTAGAGAATCAAGTGAAAAACTACTTGAAATAACTTTAGCAAAGTTGCAGGCTATAA